CAGAAAAGCTCTTTAAATATGATAGCTTATAATCTCTCGCCACAAAAATATAAGTTTTTTTTCAGATATTTATGTTGCCACGCAAAAATACTGCCGCCTTATTTTATAGATCGGCCGAACTATGTCAAAGTCATTTCACCAAAAAAAATTAGGTCCTTTACATTCAGGAACCCCGAAATACGCTTTTTTCTACCAACTATTGGAACTATCATATTGTTTCCGAGCGTGACTTTTTGCCCAAAAGACATACTAACTTCTTGAAAATATTCGGATAGTTTTTCTGAAACAAGTTTGCGCACTCCAAAGAGACTAAGGAATGTGTTTATTTCCGCACCTTTGTGTACGTATACTAGAAGAAATCCAAAGGCGTAATTCTTAAAACTTTTCTTAATACTAGGTTAAATAAGTTTATTCCAGTTACCCTAAGGGAAGAGCTCTAACTCAACTTGTAGGCCCGCCTGGATGCACAAGAATGAAGTTTCTGTTGATTTCGTACATGTCGCCATATTTCCTATTCTCTGTCCTAAACGAAACTGAAGACATAATCAACATCAGTTGCCAGTCTCTCTGCGTCCTGCTTTTCAGTTCCTCCGGAATGATCGATATTACTTTTTATAAACCGCTTCTAGTTAGATCGTTGTGATAGTTTCTAGTTATAGGCACTGTCTTCTATACATCCGCCATGTTTTTGAAATATACAATTTACTGCCATTACTACGTGATATGCGGTGCGATGTAGAGGACAAATCGTATAGAGGCTGTCGTTGACTAAACCCTTCATAGAGAGTTGCCGTCCGCCGTTCACCTCCTTATTACCGCTGGCCACTCCCTGAAGTTTTCTTTTTCGCCCCTTTACCCCTCTGAAAAAGGCGTCAGAGACAACGGGCAAACCACATCGTAGCGTAATATGTCAGCACGCACTTGACCTATCTATCCGGTTGTGCAGTCGTAATTTCTGCGATGACCATTCCTGTTCGTCAGTCAGCTTAAAGCAATGGCCATAACGTATAGTGTACGTAAATTGAGGGTTGCAGTAAGCAGACGAACGAAGAAAAGGATTCCAGAAACGGGATCTTTGTGGGTCCATGAGTCTCTATGAATTGCTCAATGGTGCAATAATCGCTTCACAGCTCGTCTACACTCATCACAACTGGTCGGAGTCCATATAACTCAGGAATCCGTCATAAATATGACTCCCCCCCCCCTTTCCCCGCTGGCAGTTTGCTTTGGCCCAGTGCTGTGTTTAAGTCTAGGAAGTCGAACCACAGTTTGAGATGGGCAGACATAGATGTGTTCATCCTTTTCGAGATTATCTTCATCTTATACCACAGTAATAGAGTTCTTATGTATGCACTGTATAAGACTTACTTCCCCGTTAGCTGAAGGGTGTTAGTCCTTGTATTTATAATATTCTACTAGAAGAGACGCTGCCCATCGATCGTTTGAATATAAGGGGGCGTGGTCTTTTGAGAACTTTTACGCTTTTTCTTGCCTTCAAGTAAACCCAACAGAAATAATCATCTATCACCGGAAGTGCTAAGAAAGATTCGGAGAGGTAAATAATTTAATTAAGTAAGAATCAAGCAAGATGCATATGATAAGCCGTACCAAATATTGCTAGCGCCCATATTGCAATGGAAAAATGTGAATACGATTATAATCGTCTTTGAGTTTCTTTGTCTCTTCTTCCTCTCGAACTAGCCAGTACACCATCCTACCAAAACGTTTCATTAAGCATTAAGGTAACGATATTTTAGTATTATTTTTTCAGAACGTTATTGCATTGTGCAGCTTGCTAGATGGACCTCCTGTAATAGAACCGTATTAAATTTTTTTATCCTACACTCTGGTCTCAATTGGCAAGCGCGCTTAACTCAAGATCGTCAACTTTGGGTACAAAAAAAAATACAGCAGTTGTACGTGGACCTAGCATTTATTAAAAGAAGCATCTTCAAGCTCCGAAGTAATTGGTCATTCCAAGTTCTCGATGGTGATTTTTGCATCTGCATGGTATATTTTTTTGTTAAGGTGAGCTTTATGTGCACGTGTATTTCGATTACCAGCGATTTTGGGCTTTTCTAGGCACAATACAGAATTACTTTAAAAGCAATGCAGGGATAGTATCCCTAGGCTTTGCCTGAACCCAGTTTGACAGTAACCAAATCAATTTCAAGAAAGCGTATTGCAGCCCACAATGTTAATGCTCGTTATCATAAGAAAGCAGATAATTTTTGCTACTAGCACTACTTTGTAATCCTATGAAAAAACGATACATGTCTCGCTGTCTGAAGTGAATGTCATTGAAATCTCTCATAGCACAAAGCTATTTGTTATACATACGAGAGTGCGTTACCTATAGAACATGATATATTTAAAGATGTACACAAGCTCTGGTTTAAAAACAATTATTAACTGCAAGTGGTTCCCGTCTTAATTTTTTTCAGATGTACTCTATTAAGTTTAGGTATAACTGTATATTGCGCGAACAGTGTCGGTCAGATGTGTTAACTGTACTTATTTGTTTCATCAGTCTTTTGTTTTTACTATTGCAACAATGCGTCGATTAACATAACGTCATAACATAAGACTGTCTGCTACCGACTGTAACTTACGGACAGTACGATGACGCATTCGTGATTGTTTGCGTGCAGTCGTCATTCATTACTTATTCCATTATTTATGCACGTACCTTTGTCTCTAAGCTTTTGCTAAAACAAAAAAAAAAAAATATATATATATATATATATATATACATAGAAAGAATGTGTCTATGAGAGACAGAGAGAGATAACCCAACGGGTAACGTAGTAGCGTAACTCTAGAAAACAAATTCCCTCTTACATAGGGAAACTACGTATACACGCATGTGGTTTTCGCGACTGAAAGCGTTCGGATTATCATGGATGTTAACTGCTATCTTGTTTCGAGTCGTCGAACGTACGTTTGCGCATACTGAGTCGTGCGTACCTTTTTTCGAGTGTAGCGACCAACTCATGGATGCGTTTAGTCCACAACACTCCGTGGCGAAAGCAATAGCCTTTCGGTCAGCTCGCAGTGAAAGCTGATAGTCGAGGCATCTGACGACTGATCTACAACACAGCGACTGTATACCCAAAGATAACAAGCATAGCTTGGTCTCCTGCTTTGCTTGTGAAAACTTAGGATGCCTCAGTGTCCAAACATAGCCATGTTTACTTTCAACACGAGGGTCTGGTCACCATGAGTAAACATCACCGCTTGATCTCGGCACTGCCGAGCTTGACAAAGCTCCAGCCACAGAGACATGTAGGAGAATAATTCCCACTTTTAGTATAAGTAGCGTCTTTTTTTTTTTTATCTAAGCTATGTCGCCGATACTACCAACTCGCGCTTCAACTCTGATATAAAAGACAACTTTCCAAAACACCCGTAACAACGTTTCCTTGAAGGCCATCGAATTAACGTTACAAGCATAGTGCGAAACAATCCATTATGATATAAAGTAATAAAGCTAAATTCACAAGTTTTTCGATAAGTATCTATCAGTTGATAGTAAAGGAATTACAAATTTATGGCAATAATCAAGTCCGCGAAGTTCTGGAGAAGGCGCGAAAGTGAGATGGGCAGATAGAAAATAGAGCTGTTATATAATCAATAAAATAAAGTAGAGCGGTATACAAATAGCGCATACAGAATATTGGCAATTTTTATTCCGAGGTCGCTTTGCGACAATGATACGTATACTTGGGAAATCTGTATGTATCAGGGATTAACAGCACCTTTATACGAAACACAACGACAGAAGCTCCTCTACTACAATAATCTCTTAGATTAGCTCACCTGACCCCACTCTAGTCAAATTCATTCTTCTTGAAAAAAAAAAAAACTTTAAGCTTTAAAGAAAATTTATCAAGTGGTGCATTCCCGCAGTTATTTGACAACAGCAGTAGCTACTGCCATGTCCAGTGTCCATCCAATCCATCGTGTCCATGTGTAGTTTGACTGTCGCAACGATAACTCGCGTTCTCCTTCTGGCATTTCTTACTCTCCGAGTTGTCCTGCCTAGGTATTTTTCAATACCTAAAAATTCTAGGCATTAAAAAAACTGCTAGAGAGAAAGGATTCTTGGATTAGCTGGCGGGCAACACAATCAAAAAAAGCGAAGGCTGCGCGTCCATTTTGTTAAGATTATCACATAGTTTGAATAATTAAACAGGCGAAGCAGGCGCGGATGAAAGATGGCTTGGGAGCTAGTTTGTTATTAAAACTCGATGTGCTCAGCATTCGTAGGAGATTTCGCAGCGTCAGCATCCGAAAGCTGGGGAAACATTGCTTTGTGTGGGGGAGGGTTGCTGGAAAAAGGCACTTCCTTTCCTTTTGCTCGCCTCTTGTCTTGTCCTCATGAGGGTAAGAAATCGGACAGGTAAAAAAGGCGTGGGACTGAACCCCTTTCCAGAATTCTATGAACCTTATGTAGTATGTTAGCAAAAACAAAATTAGCAGTCTCAGACTATGCCCTTTTGATACTGCCATTAGAGTCGGTACATTACATTAAAACAAAACTCCTTAAGACATAGTTTTGAAATAGTCTAGCAGCTGATTCCGAACGAGCGTACTCGATCATTATAGATTTTTTTTTAGATTTTAGAACCTTTCAATAGTATAAATATAAGATCGTGTCAAAATTCCATATAGAATTGACTGTAAAGGTCATGATTCCGGTTCTTTGCAGCCAATACTTAGTTTTTAACAAGTTTTTTTTTAACCTAAATATAAGACCAACACGAGCGCAGTGTACTTCTCTTCTACAAACTGAAAGAAGTCAAATATGGCTCTGCCTTCGAAACGGATATTATCAAATTATTAGACTTAATTAGCCGGAATGTGTGTTTATGATGAAAAAAAAAATTAAGAATAACAAGTCCGTGAGTGGAAGTTGATTGATCACATTCATTCTGTTGGACTTGCTGTTTCAGCTCGCAAATTTTAAAGTACTGCATATTCAGGAAATAGTTACTTACTTTGAGGGATCTTTTCTGCGTTGACAATGATACATCCGGCTGTTTGAAATGAAGTTTCCGTTGGCCGGATCTCGACATCTCCAAGATGGATAATCGATGCTAGAATACGGTAAATTGTATCGATTTCCTAGAAACAGAAAGTAAACACTGGCAGTTGAGTCCGGTATTCTGACGTTATGATTACTGTTTTTAAAGATGCTTACTTCCTCGGAAAATTCGATGCTCTACAGGAAACAGAGCTCTTGGAGTGAAGTAACAGTCGAAAGGGCGCTGCAGTTGAGACACATATCAGTTGACAAGAACTTAGAACCCAGTCTCTTAAGTATAAAATTCTTTCGTACTCCGCCGTCGAAACGGAGGGGCGGAGTCGTCGTCGTCGTCATTAACGATATAGCGAAAAACTTTGGAGCTATGACAAGCCAAATAAAATATGAAAATCTACATTACTTCGTCGGGCAGATACAGAAATCTGTATGCTACTGAATCCAGGTATTCAAAAAGCACTTTATAGATGCGGTAATTATAATATCTATTTGATGACGTTTCTTGCAGGTCAACAGATGCATTTTTTGGGGCTAAACACAACCATATAATAACCCATTTTGCAAGATATAGTTAAGTCGACGTATAATATAAATCAACGTACGTTAATCAATTAATCACTCACACACGCAGACATCAAGTTCATTTTCGTATCTTTGAAATGGGTCCAAGCATCACTTCCCATCTACAAAAAAAAGACCCGTCCTTCAATTGATAATCAGGTTTGTTCTGAAGATAAAAGTTGTTTCGCGGCTTTTTTTTTTTACAGACTTGAGAGAAATCTTTTCTCCTGTGACCTGCTTCACCTGATCATCGTACTCCGGTGCTTCTCTCGGCAAGCGCAGTTCTTTTCCGATCGTCTTTGGCGGGCAACGAGGAAGTGATTTCGTGATTTGTCTATTTCTTTGTTGTTCTAATTCGACGCGAAGTCGAGATACTTGCCATTTCAGAAAGGCTAAAAAGAGATAAAAGTTGCCCTTTCGTCTGACTGGTCTATTGCCTCAACGACGACGACGACAATTTGAAGTCATTAAAACTTTTCGTTCAGGGCCACGAAACATGTTCGAAGGCGTAGACTGACCTGGTTGAAGCCGGATGGCGGTCTGGTAAACAGGACATGGAGTTTACGGAAGGCGATCCCTCAAAAAAAGCTCGGATAGGACAATTACAACACGAAAAAAAGGCCACTGAGCCAAATTACCTGGCGGACGACGTCGAGCAAACGAGTGGCTATGTGATGTGCTGGCGTAAGAAAGATGGCTTGATTCAGAGATTAATGGATCTTAAGGGACATGTATTCTTCTGGGCGGTTGCGTGACTGTCGTTTCTCCATCCAGAGATACAGTCTGCACACTGGTGCACCTAAACTGAACGTCTATAGCATAAGTATTTTTTCATGCTTTTGTCGATTTCGGTGTATATTAATAAAGATTGTGGTTAATACTCTTATGGGACCTTGTTGAGCAGCCTATTTACTAACCGTAACTCGAAATCCAAGAAGTTCAAAGCCCTGCTTGACAGCTGCAAGACGACGGGTATGCAAAACCCCGGTTTCCCTATCAGGTGGGATAGCTCCTTGTAAATACCTGAAATAGATAAGGCGCGAAGTAGGTCATATGGATGAGTTAGGTGGTTTTTTTGCCTTAACTGGTATTATGCTATTTAGACAAATTTCCTCTTGTTATATACGTATTGGCCCCGTCGGGTGGTTAATAACGAATAACAACATGTTCGTCTATCAACCAACAGGATACAGATCGTTTAAATTATAATCTGGGCGTAGACATAATCTAATCCTCGGACGAAAGTCCGGAAACGAACGGCAATAAATACAATTATGATCTAATCTACCGCTGTCCCTTTGATTGCTCGTATTAAATTTTCTACCACGATGCTCTTTTAGGCCAATGCTAAACATGGCACCGAGACCTGTCACAAAAGTGGAAAAATCTGCCTATTAGGCTTGCATATTTTTATCTGACGGGTTTTTCGTTGTAAACTACAAAAGTATTTCGGCATCCGATATTTGGCAGACGTTTAGGCATGTATGCACAAACTGAAAACGTTCTTATTTACACAGAAAATTCACATAAGGAAGAATATGTTCCTGCATTATTCTTAAGTAAGAACGTCACCATCGGCTTCTATCTCTGAAAAGCACCACCCTCGTTACATAATTATATTTTTGTAAAATGTAATTATGAGCTTCAAAACAATACGCATCTACCACGTGAACTAGGATTTTACCGTCAAGCATTGACCTCTCGCCTTTTAAGTGGAATATAATTGGTTTAAGCTAATAGAAGTCAATAGCTAAGATTCGTGCCCTTGTCTCTATGTTATACGGGTTACTGCTGCAGCTTCTTTGAAGGTCGAAGAAAGTCCTCGTCGGATATACTGGTACACCGACGTTTCTCTGGTAAAATTTGCTAGCCCGTCGGAAATTTTCGTTACCAAGCTTGTTGCTATACGGTTGGCCATCTTGCTGTCCCCAAGCCGCAGACAAGTGTTCGAAAGCTTCATACTTCAATATTTTGGTGTGTTCGGGAGTTGTTACTGCAATGCGTTTGATTGACGGGGGCCGAAGCAGCAATACAAATACAAGAAGACGGAAACTGCTTCTAACCATCAAGCCACAGACAGGAGATTTGCCATTACTAGAGAAAAATCGTTAGCTTATGTGCGTGTATTTTGCTAAGATCGAAGGCTTTCTGTCTATCGAGAAAACGACTACCAATTTGACCTGAACTTCTTCAACCAGGAGGTGTGTGACTATTAAGCTAGGCAAATTTGACGAATAGAAGGCTGTTTCAGGACTTTTGCGTGATCTAGTTCTGAAGTTGACTGATCACGTCGGCTAGAGTAAAATCCTTGAGATGTAAAAAGCAACCGCTAATTGTCCTTGTTTAAACCAATCTGTTAAGTTACAACGGGACACAATGCTACACGTAGGACAATATATGTGGTCACAGTAGATTATATAGTTCACTCGTTAACTGGTTATGGTATATTAACCATCCATCGCAGGATGCATCGAGCTTAAGCGCTATATAACTCAGTATCATAAATTTATGGTTTTCTGTTAAATTCGATCGAATTAATTGTTGGCGTCGCTTCTGTTTTTTCTGAAACCTAGAAGATCAGTGACAACGGTCGATTTAGCTCCAAGTGAGTTGGCGTTACAGATGGTGAAAAGTAATTTTCTAGCTACCATTAAATAGGATGGTTTGTGCAGAAGTCAAGTCTCTAAAAACATAGCAAAATCGTAAAAAAATCGATACATTTTGCTCGTTTAAGGCATTACTTATATGCGGACGCTATGAAGCGGAAAGCTGCGGCGCAGTAAAAGCTGGGGGTATAATACTGTACATTGCAGCCATTCATCAAAGCATATAATATTTCCCTCTCTTTGTAATTATTATCTTCCTTCTACTTCTGCATAACATGTTCTCGCTCTTTATTGCCTGCAGGTTCGTATCATATAAATGTGTGTAGGTGCAAGCGAGCACGCATATGCTGGATAATTCAGGCCGCAATACACACTGTACAAGGAAGAGTTTCATGTATGGTTGTATTATATAAAAGCATTCGCACTCATAACGTAGATAAATTCTTCAATGAATCCATCATGGCTGGTGTCGCTTCTCTTATTGGCAGAACAAATAATAGTACCACGTGTCATATGCATGTCTGGCGCGATCATCGACAACGCTCGTAGCTGGTAACACGTCGATCCGTCTGTTTGTTTTCATTGTAAGCGTCTGTTATAGGCTGGCCTCCGTTGCTAATGATGGCTCAAAAAAGAGGGAGAAAGGCAAAGGAATGATCCTTTGCGATCATTCCTTTGCCTGAGCGATCCTGGTGCAGACAAAATTCACCTCATATAAGTGATTCCACTAACAATTCGCTGCTGCATTGTCGACCAGTAGTTTTTTCGCATGTTGGTCCTGGCATACTACTTCCTAACGGGCCTGGGTGGCTCACTGGCCGTGTAATCAGGCGTGCGAAAACAACGTCGAAGCAGGAAGCTGAGCTAAATCCAGCTCGTATAGATCGACTCGAACAGACAAACGTACAACGACTAGTTCAAGCAAGATTTCGCTTTCACATCTTAGCTGTCAGATTTGCTTGTATACTTGGCTGCTATTTCCCTATCTTTACTTGCCGACACGTAAAGCGGTTTTGTTGCTTTTTTTGTCCTCATAAAAACTTCACCGGAGAATTACCGTTGCCGTCTATTGCGGGGCTGGTGCTATCTGTAAAGTTGTTCTGGACTTTAAAAGAGAGAGAAACCCTGCAATCACACAGGCAGCGGCAGGAACCCGAAACTGAGCAGACCCGTGTGTAAAGCTAAGCACAAAAAGGGACGAGGAAGAGCACGGGTTGTTTTTGCTTCAAATGACATTTAAGTGTTTAAACGAGTTTTCCGTCCCCCTTTTCATCTTTTTTTCTCTAACAAAAAAGCTATTGCTCTTTTTCCTCTAGGCTTTACGTGACCACCCGCCTTTTTACTTCCTGAAAATCCTTGCGCAATGGTGTTTTGAAGCGAGAACTGATTCAGATATTAACTTCCACTTATTCGAACAACGAGTCATATTCAAGGTGTCAAAGCAATTACTCGTGACGCAGTCTATGCAGAACTGGGCGACAGAGCCGAAGAACTGCTGCTTTGAAAGTCGTAATCCTCGTTTTTAGTTGTATAGGCGCACAAAAAGATACTCGTGAAGCTCAAAATTGCAATGATAAAACAATGGCTTGGATGAAACGGATTAAAATTTCCGTGAAAATGTTGACGAGTGAAATTATTGGCTACTGAAAACCGAAAAAATAACAGGTGCACGCTAGTTGCCGACTCTGTGACGATCAAGTATCGAGAGAATTTTAGATCTGGTAATGTTACCGATGTTAACTAAAAGACCTTTTATTCAGGAGGCCATGAAATTCTTTTGAAAACTTCAGAAGATCACCCATCCATTCACTACAACTTCTCACTTAAACACCAGCTTCGTCACCATGTTGAGTGATAGAGAAGATTAGCGGCATGTCGAAGAAGTTATAATCGATACTGGTACTGATGTAATGAAACTGAATATGAACGAATACGAAGCAAAATCTGGCAACATCGAAGTATCTAACGGATTCTATATGTGTATGTGTTTTTTTATGTGTGCACTTTTAACTGACATATGTTAATTTCTGGATGTTTTATCTGAAAATTGAAAGTTTCAAGTTTATATAGGAGGCAATATTGGGAACGGACACAATGTGGCCGATGTTGAACATAATAATAGCACAACATGAGTGCCGTAAACTAACAGCAACTGCACATTTTTCTAATCAGGAGTAAAGAGTGCTAACAGCGTTACCTTGCTTACAGTTCTATAGGGAACGAAGACGGTTGTCATTACGCTAAAAATGAGTGACTTCTTGGAAATCACCGTCGAATCGAAAAATGGAGAAGCTGTCGGAGAGCACGCTGACTCCAGCTTCAAAGGCCGACTCCGAAATGATTTTTAATCTACGTACCCAAATTTCCCTTGTAGGAAGATTCGATTTGTTATAATCAACGCAATAACATCCACTAGAGCAACTAGCACAGCTGCTCCCATCCACACCAGCATGCAGGGTGACTTGCGTGGAAAATGGTTCATTTTCAAAGACACCTTCAAAAGCTAGCTGTGATCAAAGTAAGTTCTGAAGACTAGTAGAATGAGATTGAAGTGGATCTTCCGCAGCATATAACCATCGGGTCATCAAAACGATGCTTGTTTGGGACCCGGCCAGGATGAGGTCTATCTAGATCTCAGCTTATTCGCCTTAGGTCTCCCTGGTCTACCTCTATTCAACCTCTGTTTCTATTGAAATCGTAACCTTTGTTTGGCCCCGATGCTCCTCAATAAGTGACACTAGCGGAAGAACTAGAACCTACCGTGTCTTATTTCGAAAGAGGCCAAGCCGACAGGCCATTAACTAAGCAAGCCCAACAAAAGTGCAGAGCCCCATCCGGCATCACCAGTACGATAGAAAAAATATAACATAACACTGTCTTCTGGCTTCTGATGACTCGTCTTATTGCCTTTACTAGACAGGCCAGGGGAAACGGACGGTCGAACCGGCGTTCAGACTCAATAAGGCAACGACCCTCGTTGACAGTGGTGCTAACACCGCAGCTTGGTGTTATCCCACCGTTGTAGGGCAATTACGTATTGTAGTTAATAGGAACCACTTACGGTAACCATACAAGTGCTGTAGACTGCGGTGTGTGATGATGTAAAGACGGTCACTGAGCGACACAAATTTGTCATGGGAAGTGTGCAGACATAGAGGAAAAAAACAGCTGTCGAGCCGAACACACAGCGCGGTAGCCGGATGTAGCAACCATCTGATGCCTGGATAACAAACACTCTAAGTGCTCATTTCCTAAGTGTAGACGAATTGAGATGGCTATCTTATTTAGAAGGAAGCTTAGCTCTCAACAGTAACACTGCTACGCTTAGGACCGCTCATGGTCTCAGCCTGATAGATCGTAGTCTGTGGAATAAAAAGGAATAAAAGAATCAATTTCTCCTTAGAATAGTAAGGTAAGGTATGACCGTTTGGTTCTAGCTGGATACCGCCGCATGTCATGGGCTGCCTTCGGGCACCTTCAGGTGACACATGGTCCGAGAAAGCTCAAAAGCGGAGTAACAGGCCAGTTAAGATGGCTTGAGAGAGACAACACAGCTTTTATACATCACTGCACATGTTCTTTATCCATGCACAGCTGAGATTTCGACGTAGTCGACCGTTCTCTGGACGGGGAACTCAAACCACCGGCCGTATATTACTCGCTTCAAAAATTTATTACATCTGCTTCTGTCAGCAAACAATAAACAACCTTTAGCATGGCAAAAACAAAAAAAGGAATGCGGGGCCTTTTTATATGAAATATGATTCGTACAGATATTTTTTTTTATTATTTAACATCATCCTGGGTAATGGCAAGATGTGTTCCATGTTTTTTCATACAATTGAGTTTTGATGAAATCAAATGCATAGACAGAACGTTGTCGACTGTTGACAAAGGCCATGGAGCTCTGGAAACTATTTGGTGTCAATCACATGTCAAAGAGGGTAGCGCTAGTGTCACGTGTGGAAATGGCAAGCGTTTTAACATGCGATACATACTTGTATCAGTTAACATCGGTGGCTGAATGCTATCTGAGAAACCTTTTTGTTTCTCTATCAGACGTGATATCAGTATCTACACGTCTTTCGAATACGAAATACTAGACTCCGGTGATAGATCACCAGAGATAAGCCAGAATAAGACATTCCTGTCTAGTAACAATAACTAATGGAATGACGATTCTGTGAGCCTGGGAATGATAAAAAATATATACATGTAGTAATAGACAAAAGGTATAGAGACAAACAGAGAAACATGGCAAGAAACTGAATGAGTTGGCCTATGACACGTCACAGTATTCAAGCTGCATCGGAGACGTCCCTAAACGCAACAGAAAAGGAGCAGGCCCAAAAAGAGCTCGACGAAGTTCACTCACTCTGTAGGTCCCACGGGAAGCTATTAAAGTGGAAGCTAAAAAAACGACGACGATAAAGACTGTCTCGTTCATTAACGAAGTAGGCAAGGCAATTTCAGCAGAAATAAAACAAATAACTGGCAGACAGACAAGTCTACGAGAGCTAAAACTTTTATCATACGGAAATAGCATCCGGCTAACGTAATTATGTTTACAGAAAACTTTTTAAGAAAGCTGAGATGGCTGACAGTAAATTCAAAGGGAGAATAAATACCGAACTCGATCCCAAGCTCTTAGTCGAAATGAATTAGATAGCACGACTATCCAGAGCTATATTCAAAGAAGCCGAGTTTAGCTTCTAGGGAAAAGGTTTAGCTTCAACCAAATAAAATTCTCTGGGGCGCGGTTTCGCAATCAGATGCACCTATGCTTTTATTCATCCCAGCGCACATTCACGACCTAGATGAATGAGTCCAATCGCCGAGGGCGTTGCTATCTTAAGTCCTGATCCGTGGCCCATTCTTCCGGTAATATTAGGATACAAATTTTGAGTCTTTATCTTATTTATATCTTCTCCGGTAAGAACAGTTATTAGTGAAGGCCTGTTGTACAAGCGGTAATTTTCGGCTGCCGCCGGAGCTAGCGTACTATGTCTATTTATTAAGGAGGATGATAATAATACCAGCAACGAAGGTTTCCGCAAATCGCGACCGAACCATATCGCAACATTAATGTAATGTTGTGAAAGTGGCGTGTGATAGCTCGTTTTATTCTTTCCTCTTTGCCTACACATAATGGCAGTCTTTCGACCATCGGCTTCTCCATCCTTTTGTTTCATTTATGTTTGAAATATATGTAGGAACGCGCATCTCCCTCAGTTAATTGAGTACGGGCGGTGCAGCCAAACGCCGACTAGTACCGACGCGGCACCCAAGGGGGCAACGGCGAGCACGCGATCGATATGCACCAGCGCCATGAGAACCCGGGAAAGGCGGTTGACTTACCAAATTTATTGCCACCGAACGCTGTCAGGGTCAGGGCTTCGGCACTGGCGGGCTTCTTTTTGACTGATCGTAACTAAGCGCAGCCCCAAGTTGTTATAGCAGTGCCAACAGCTGGTGCTAGCTCTTGGCCAAGCAGCACACTCAGCAGAAGCAAGAAAAAACAGAAACTACATTGATGTTCGTGGGTCACCGAACGTTATCTCGAACGGCTGCATGATAAGCCTGCTTCCAGGTTGTACCGGTCGTCCTTCCATTTCTTTCTCCGTTGTCTATGACCGATATGTTTGTCAGTTTAGTAAAAAATCACAGGCGGATAGCAGCAGCAATAGCAGACGTACCAGTCGACACAGGAGGGCATTTACTAACCAACGGCAAACGGTACCAAAGCAGACATGCGAGAGGTTTGAGACCTAGGACCAGAGGGCAAACCGACCTCAATGACCTCCCTTCGCCAGAGATAATGGCAATAATAAACGTCATAATAACGGTACAGAAGAGCGCCGCTGCTGCATCGGGCGTCATAGTAGCGGTAAAGGTTATTGCAATCGTTTTGCTCGCCAGTTCGTTCTATTAGTTGAGCGGCTCGCATCACTTACTACTGCTCGTGTCTGCTGCAACAGCGGCGACAGCTTCACCAATTGTGCCCCAGTGTCCGGCTAACCACTTGTGATCTGAGGGTTTGGCTCGGATGGGTTTGTGCTATTTATGGCTGATATTCTATTGAAGCCCAATTATTGCGAGCCACTGGAAACCACTACAGTTGAGGCTGTACAATATGTCATCATTATCTGCTCGCTCTGACTAAATGCTTCGCTTAGTGCCTGAAGTACTGGCGCAGCGAAGAAGAGTGCAGTATTTAAAGGGCATCAATGTATATGCCTGCAAGGTTTCTTCAACGCGGCCGATTTGGCTACTCGGTTGAGAACCTTCCTCCAAGCGCGGCCTTTAAGGGAGGAGGCAGCCGCAGAATTATGCGTCTTAGGGTCTAAGTAAATGTTAGAACTGATCGCTAAGATGAATGCGCTGCTCTGATCATTTTATCACCGCCTTGTCCTTTATTCTTACTTGCGATTTGCTCGGATAATAAGAGCGAACATCGGGGCAATGCCAGTATTTCACATGTATGTACATGAGAAATAAATTGCAGAAACTACGTACTATAGTAACAATGCCCTAGACTTAGTTACCGAACTTGTATATTGTGTAAAACACGATATTATTATTCAATACCAAGCAGACAGCAGTTATAGATGCGCTGGGTAAAAGTTACGGGTAAGGCATTTCACTTCACGGCTGAATTACCGAATGTGTCATATGAAAAGAGAGTTTAATGAATATGCAACGAGGAACGAGTATGGGATTTGTCCACCTACCGGTGATTCCGTTTGTACGTCGCTGGTTCTAGGTAGTACGCTTCAAGTAGATTTTGAGCCGCTAGTCCATCGTAAAGGTAATAGAATATATGAAAGTTGCGTTCGCCGCTGAAATTAAAAAAAAAGTGGAAAAAGAAAACAATTTCTATATGATCCGCTTGGCGCTCTACTATTGCGCATTTTACTGTAAAGTAGATATTCTGTTATTATTATATTTAACTCTGAAGCAGCTTCATCGGCTTTCTGGAAAGCATAAAAAAATTTCGGTTTATCAAAGTGCACAGTGTTTGAATAACGATATCGATCCTATATTTCTGTTCTGAAGTCTTTTTAACAAAATACTAAATTTATATTGCTATTTGTTGTTACGATGTCCTGTTGTGTCAAAGACAGTTTCCTACCAGGAAGACCTCTACGCAATAGTTCCGATTGTTTGTAAAGCATACACAATCACAAACAAACCAATTACAAAAGTCGACACAATGCGAGAAATTGAAGGATTTCGAAACACCGGATAAAATATAACTATTTCACGACCATTAATTATCCTTGACTGGATAAATCAATCACCTTACAATTATTGTTTCTCATAGCAGGAATAGGAAGGGTAAGCAAAAGGAATTTTTTCCCTTCTTCTACCGTAGGCTGCTAGAAGACCTTATGAGATCTGTTTCTTGAAAGGATATGCATAAGTAACTTGCAGAGTTTACTAGCGCACGAAGACTATTCATTGGAGATTCGAACGACACTGAAGATCAATCTAATTGTTGCCTTTTTCTTTCCTTGCTTCTTCGTTAGTTGGGGGGGCTTCGAAATGTGCAGAGTTGCTTAGGCCGACCGCTATCATAGCCGCTGCCGCTGCTGACGCGGCCCCATTTGCAAATGCTGCTGTCTCATGAAGCAGCGATTAAAAGTAATTATTACTTTTTTCAGTTGCCTTTTACCCTTCATTCTTCCCCTTCCCTTAGGCTTCGTTCTTTACTTACCTTCAAAAGCAGCTTACACTTGGGTTTCGTTGCACAGATGAAGCACCTGCCTACTTTTGCCGGTCCGATTCCGTTCTACCGGCGATGGCGCCATTTGGTCAACGTCAGACGCTACCACGTTGGGCTGCTGGAGTTAACAGAGCCGACTTGGGTAATACCGATGGCGGTAGCCCTGCTTAGGGCGTACAGACGCTTTTGTGAAACCATAAGTCTCAGCTGTCAATAGCTACGCCGTGGGATCGTTGCCGGGCAGCTTGGCAGAAAATGCTTTTGGAAGCGCGGTCGCTTCTAGGTTGAATACTAGGGGCAAAAATAATTGTGAGTCGGCGGCGTCAGCGACGGTGGCTGCGTTTATTACTTTTGTGGATCCGTATGTTTGCATTGCAAACAAGGCACACCTAATACTTGAAAACCAATCTTTTCAACCCAGCAGCGACGCAAGTCTAGCTTTTTCTACGGGTTTTCATTGCTACTATCACTATTACTGTTTTCGCTTGTTGATAATAATAATAATAATAATGGAGAAATAAAGCGTCGTGGAAAGGGTGGATGCCTTCTTCGGTATTCTACTTGGAAACGTCCTGGGAGTGTCAAATGTGGTGAATGGCAATTGCTACGACGGGGCAATTTTAGGTTAGGTTGCCTTGGAGAGGCTTTGAGTCTCTTGGTTTGATGTTTTTTAGGGGTGCTATAATGAAACTGTGTCATCCATAGATTAGAGGAGAACAATATGTTTTGCCCGCTGTGGTTTTTGCTGCAAAATTCAACATCTTCAGTAATAGCACGAACACGAACTACATAGCTGTTGTAACAGAGAAACACTCGTATAATTATTATGTGACCGAGTCAAACGTTGTTAAAACTGATGTACAGACGTATTCTATAGAACGCATGCATAGGGTCCTTGACGTCGTAGCTGCTTATTGTGGTTTTCTAAAAGCAATACTCAACGCTGAGATTGATATCGTAGTTATCTTTACACGATCTTACTACCAAAGAAGTAGATGGAATTCTTTTCCGCGTAACGTTATAGTTACGATAGATGGTCAGTTCCTCATCAGGATCTTAGACGCCCAGTGGGAGATGTCACTTGGATTAATTTGTTTAGCTCTAGCGTTTGAGAATTGCCTGAATTTGAATATAAATCAACTCACACTTGAACTTTCGCAAGTACATTCATGGATACCGAAATAGAGAATGCTAGAAAAAATTACGATGCCCACCAAGTGTCCCATTTGCTAATGGTAAATACAAACTTAGGTATTGATCCCAGTTAGTAAAATCCATGAGACATAAATTGTCTAGCGGGTAGAAAATCATATTGAGTCTGGTGTGAAAATGAATGTTCTTATCGCTGGCGTTTACGGCTGGTTTCAAATCAATAAATCTAGATAGACCCTTCTTGCATCCCGCACTAGATCCGTTTGCACGGTCGACCGCCATTTACTCTAATTAGGCAAATCCAAGGTTCTTAATTAGCGTTCACGGTTTTCTTCGGAGGAGAAGAGCTGCAATAGACCACCATAGGGAATGACTATATAATCAACTGTATGCGTAACGCTTGCGCAAGTCTTCATTCACTAGATTGAAGAGTTATCTTAATAGAAGCATCGTATTCAAGCACGAGTATGAAACGGTACTGCTTGTGAACCTGCACATGTGAAAGGTCTATAGAGGCGACTAATTTGACAACGAGAAAGATTCGGCAGAGCTACTAACCTCAGGAACTAGCACAATCCTTAATGATCGATATTCAAAATTCATACCCGTTGAGAATTAGCATCGTATTTATTATCTTTTGTTCAACAATTTTGATATTTGTTTTTAGCGATGCTTGAAAAACATTGCAAAAACTACGCTAATATTTCGGAGTGTTTTAATTTAATACTCGTGCATATATATATATATATATATATATATATATATATATATATATATATTATCGTTACACGTCTGTATATTTATGGCACCCTTGCATATGATTCCATGCCTTAATATAAGATGCACGATGATTATTAGACACGTACATGGGTACATGTTTGGTATACTTTAAAGTCCTGCTCCCAGGCATGCTCAGGTAAAAGAGCGCCGTAGAAGTTGCTTGAGAAATTACTTAGTGCAGTGTCTATTAAAAATTCTTAGGTGATTTCAGGAGTTTGACTCGAATTTGCAAGCTATTTAAACTATAATAATATAAGTCAACCTAGATAGAAACCCTGTTTTTCCTTCCCTCACGTAGCCTGAGCGGCGGCCAAACTTTTTCAGAGCGGCAAGCATGTTTAGCTTCTTTTGAGTAGCGTGATGAAGATATCCAAATCTCCATGTGCGTCTGACTACAATGTTCATGGCGCGAATACTCCTATAGAACAATAATTCGTATGTAACTCATCCCCATGGCCGGCACTAAGCCCACCTTCAGGTCTTCTCTGTGGCTGTTTCTAATCGGAAAGCCATCGAAGTTCTCCCGTCTGTCAATCGCTTCTGGGAGTCTCAATGACATTTGTTTTACTTACATTACGACATTCTGCGTTTTGTCTACACACATATATTTACCTTAACAAGACAAAGAAATCCGAATAAGCGGATGAGCCTTTTGGATACAACCTGGACATACGGTCGGTTTATCTGCAGGCGTTGAATAGACAACACAAGAAGCGGCAAGTAAGATCCGAAATGCTCAACTATGAATAACATCTAAAGCATGCATTTAACGGTTACTTACCTGGCCTGGCGTACAACGCGTGATTGCTCGAGGAGGTACACAGAAAGTTTGGCTCCAAGGACGCGGCCGGACGTCGAGGAGAATGTGAGATCGAGAAACTTGCCGAAGCGACTAGAGTTATGGTTGATGCCAGTGCGAGCATTGCCGAACGCTTCCATAATGGGGTTTACTTGAAGGATTTTCTCGACCTCCATGTTCCCATTCGATGTCTGCAAATATTAGTCAAAGCGGGCATACGTGTTTTCTATTAGAATTTGCTAAACGTAGATTCAGAGCTAGACCTCGATTTCAAGCTCGCAAACGACCAGTAGTTTGCCCAGTTGCAGTGACCTTAATGAATGCTAATAGAGAGCTTCCATTTCGTATCGCGTAAGAGCATGTTTTGTCATTTTAGAAGAGTTTCACGCAGTAGTTTATAATCGAAAGCGGCAAGGTCAGAAAGGTTATTTTGTTTACATAACAGTACAAAGAAAATACAATTTGAGATCTTTGAACGTAATGCTGATACGTAATACTATATGATCGTGCTTTGCTCGCTTTGTATTTCTGTTAATGGGCCCGCGCTGTACATTGGCGCAGATACAAGTAATGTCTTCAGGAGTCGCGAAGAACAGCAACTCAAGGTCTGTTGCTTCTGCAAGAAGATCAAAGAGATGTCACATGTTTACCGACCACCCCCTTCAATGTCACCCTTGCTCCTGGATAACTCTACGCCGACGATAAGGAGATACAGAGAGGTAAGAAAAGAAGTGTTGCGAGTAAATAAATCAGACGGTCAGTCAACCCTAGAAAGCTCAATCTCTTTCCTTCTATACATCGAGATGGGACTTATCCCACACCGTTCTGGGACCTGTTTCTGCATCGTCTGCAAACGATTGTCATCGTCTTAGACATTATCTGATTTCGTACGCATTAACAAGAGGCAATATTTGACTTATATGTGTGATTCTTACTATGGTGTGCGCAAACAGGGTTTATATTGCAGCAATTAACCGGTAGTCGTCAAAGCGAAAGGTACTTGACCAGCGTAATTGGTCACCTTTGATGTAGTATAATAATGTAATATGTTTCGTACGTAGTATAGGAACATAATAGAAAATAAAACAAACACATCTCTACGGTAGACAGAGGGCAAAGAAGAAGAGCAAAGTTTCGAGCAGGTTTAAGACCTCGTTCAATCGAGAACTTGTTGATGACTAGCTTGACATAGCAGTTGATTCCGACAAACGAACACAAAGCTCCAGCAAACTTCCTACATGTGATAGCGAATAGCGAATAGCAACACGATTGTTCGGACTGCACTCAAATGGGTCAATTTCATTACCAATCGATCAAGCCAATTCACAATAGAGACGAGGGATCTTTCCTTCAGCGCGCCTTTCTATGTTCCTTCTGTGCAAACGATGTTGATTTGAACTTTATTTAGTTCATCCTTGCGTGTACGGAACTGACCGAATGCCCAATAGTGGGCATCCTAGAGAAAACGAAAATGAAAAAAGGGTCCCACTGAAAAACTGATATTCTCGTTGGCTTGAAAATAAGCCATTGAGTGGCTTGAAAATATCCGAGAAGCCGATAGCAGACAGACGTGCTACAAGACGAAAGAATTGCGAGGCCATGCGGGTGGAAGATGCGCTTGCTGGGTATACATTCAGAGTTCCTAAAGCAAAGAGTCCTCTTGGAATGAAATGATTCTGTATAGAAGAAAAGATCCAAAGAAAAGATCAGCCAAATCCCTGCACCGTAAAGCTAACAGGTTTCCTTTCGTCCTCCGAAGGATATAGGGGAGGATGAAACCAGTGAAAAAGGTGAAAAAGAGATGGGTACGTGGCGTCTTTTTAAAGCCTGGCTGTTCCCCTAGTGACACGGTGAAACGCAAAGAAGCAATACGGGAATAGGATCTCCTTAGGACATACAGCACCAAAGCGGGTGTGGCTGGTCCCCCGGCATAAGGCCCTGCTCTATCCGTTGCTGTACGTACCTATCATTCGAGTAAGGCCAACTTTAACGGAGGCACAAAGTAGAAGAAATGAAACCGGCTGAACGGGGGTGTGGTGCCATCGAAAAGCCCGTGAACTGCCATTCTCGCTGGTTGGCTCACCAGGGCTTCACTCTACACGACCATCAGTCATACGGCGTCAATCGAGCGACTGCCACTCAATTTCAATGGGAAAAGGTCGCTGCGCTAGACTCTGCCCAGGATGGACAACAGCGGTTCCCGAGAATGTAATGCGGAAATATCCTATTCGTTGGGCTTTTACTATATCAATATTCTTCTGCTGTTCCGCCCCGGTTTCTACGTTCCCCTCGTTCCTCGCGAGTGTGCGAGACACCGACGAAGCGCACAGTGGTTCATCGCTGTGATCTTTTTTCTTCCCTGAAGCCATATCGACAAAGGCTGCACAACGCGTTGCCAATGGGCTTTGATTTCGCCTTTTTAAAGTGGTGTCTGACTGCTGCTGTCGTTGCCCTAATCGGGCTACCGATCGGATGAGGTATACAGTGGAAGTGGAGGAAAGCCGAACTATCCTTTGTCAATTGGAGCAACGGTCCTGGGCTGATGTACCTGATGACCTGATTGAGCTGCTGCTATGTACGTGTATTCGCTGGCAGTGCCAACGATGGCGACATAAGTGAGGAAGGAGAGCGGCAGCCACGTTGCCTACAGGAGCGAGACGAAGCCCCACTCTGTGACGTATGAGCCCTCTGTGTTCGGCTCCTGTGCCGAGTGGACCAAACAGGCGAAGAATTTCAGCTCAGTGTAAATACTGGACTGATATTAAAGTGGGATGCGACTAAGTGACTGTTATAATCAGCATAATGTGGGTTGTACACCGAAAGCGGTTGTTCACGAAGAAAACTACACAATGGAGCAAGGAAATACAAGATATACCTATGCCAAAAATCAATAGATGCTTCTCGCGAGTCATCCTAACATCACACGCTGGCTACGATCGCGCTAACTAAAGAATGCAGAAAAACGTTCACAAGGCGTTGTGGTAATTTTCTAGAAGAGGTAGATTGTGAGCAGCCTAACGTTTTAAGGAAATAGTTTTTGAATCTAATCTCCTCAGAGCCGTGTGTTTACGTATAGATATTAAGCTACCCGTATTACGCCGTCCGTCCCGTTGTTCAGCTGTTTGTTTTGATTTTGCTACTTCTTCCTAGCTACCACGAAGTTTCGGAAGCTAGGCTGTTACCATTCCGTTCTCGAGATTTTCGTAGCAACTCGCTCATTCATTTGTTGCTTGCAAAACTTAGACCTGGTACCCCTCCCCCTTCTCGCGTAGCCCCTGAATCATCACGGCTGTTAATATGTATTTTTTCTTTTTTTGAACGTACGAACGAAAGAATGTACATTTTCTCTCGACAATCCTTGCTTGCCATGGACCAATATGCTCGCTCTTTATCTCATCCTGTTATTTCTAACTGGCTACCAGGATGGCTGGAAATAAGCCGTTGTATTATTTTAGAAAACGATGAGGAGGAGAACCAGTCTGCGGCAATTGCATTCGACGCAGTAGGGTCCGACGGGAGACTGACATCAGTCGGCGATACAGTGGCCTGCACAGGAAAAGGGTTAGGATAATAAGTGAACAATGTCTGGGCAAACCACCGCCTGCAACATGTATACGGAAAACGGCCCATAGAACACCAGTCTTCCACTTATATGGCCCATTCTTTTTTTACACCGAACGACAATTTAAAAATATGAAGCAATCGTGTTACAATCGTCACGGTCACCGTGCCGTTACTTATGGTATGAGCGCACCAGCGACAGCCGCCTCGAACGGTAAACGACTAGCGACTCTAGAGTTTGTGATAGATCTATCAGCAGTGAGGGCTTTTGTTAGTAGTACATTACTGCATTATTTTTTAAACGTTGAAAGACGCTGCTGTGGACTACTACAGTGTTCAACAACTACATTTAAAACTAGGCTTCTACGCGTTCTCGGCGCAGGCGCTGCAAAATACCCCTTGCCTATTGCATTTGCAGAATCCATTCATCGTAATCTGTCTGCTATAAGTATACTTCTAATCGTAAACACGTTACTTATAACTATCTGTCTGTCTTCTTTTTAAGAGGTTGTTAAGGAACCTAAGAGCATACCGTAAACCTACTGAAGGGATATTAGGAGACACATGTGATCTGCATACATAAAGAGAATATAAACATTAGACAAAAATTTGAATGGCCTATATAGGTTGTATGATATCTATTTTTAGACCACGCAAGGGCTTTGCAGATTATTATGTTCAATAAAATCAAATAAAGGTTTTGTTGAAAAAGGTGTCGTTACGGCTATTTTTGGCAACGTTGTCCGAACATCGACTTTTGCGGTATTGGTAATGGAGAGTTTCAACCTAACGGAGATATGACTCAAAAAGCACCGAATAATAAGCTAAACAGGCGGACCAAGGGTACCTGACATTACGTCCAAGCAAAAGGGCCGTAGCGAAACGGCTATTGCGTTCATGAATATTACAGTTGATGCCGTAAAAACTGAGTCATTCAGAGACGGACCGAAGGACTTCCATATTTTTTCATGTTACCCCGTTGAGTCTGCTTCATGGTACCTTTGCAACTTCCACCAATGCCAAAGTCTATCGCCCAACTTACCACCGCTAATTTCACTTCTCATTGTGCTGTTCCTTTACGTAAAGTGCAATAGCTTCGATGCGTTAGTGGACATTAAGGAGCCAACGCCCCAATAAGTAGATGCGTGAAGATAGTGAATTGGACCCCACAACTTATCACCTAGCAATGAGGTAAGTTCATGGCAACGGCACGGGTTCGTTGCGGGTTGTGTATGCAGTTGCTGGCGAGGCCGATGTTGATCGAGCAAACTGGTCACGTTTATGACCAGCTTATTGTGGGGCTGATGCAGCGCCGCCTCACCCAGCTCGCGCACAATGGCACTTAGCTTTGCCACCTACCTGACTGTTTTTCCTCGCTATTTATCCTTTTGCGGCTAGCATCTACGACTGACCAGCTATAGAGCATAATGTTTTTTCTGTCGCATACAGTCAAGCAAAGCGGTACCTAACACGACTGCAGCCCTCGCCTGCCGGCCGATCAGCCTTTTCGATATAGCAACATAGCGACACCAATGAGGACTAGGGCAACAGCAACAGCAGCAGCAGCAACTGCACTGGTAGAACCATCAGTAGCAATAACAACGATGACGACGATAAAAACGAAGACAGCGGCAATAGCATCGGCAGTTACGACATCGATAACAACAAACGAAGCCAACGACATTAAGCAGCATCGCGTAACCTTGAGGCATAATCATAGTACACGACGACAAAGGAAAACTAGAACAAATTTCCTGTGCTTTGTACCATCCCTTTTTGAGGCTATCCGAGTCGGAACAGGAACGGCAAGGCACGTAGGATAATGAAAAGGTTTCGCTTCTCCTTTTGTTTTGTGTTAGCAATCGAAGAGAGCAGTGGCAGGAGCTCTACAGCGGTGAGACGACCATCAACTCAACGCCCGCTTTGCACCCCCTTTCCGCTCGGTCCCGACTCGCAATGGCCCGTTGCAGCGGCCGATCTCCTTGTCTCCTCTTTTCCCTTGCTCTTGTTCGCATCGCGTAACTCCTGACACCGAGGGAAGTTAGCGTCAACTCTCCGAGTTAATGAGGCCGAGCCGTTAGGAGTTGTTGTTACAAACCTCCAAAGGAACAGCAGCCGGAATCGCCGCCTTCGTTATTCGATGAAATTCTCGCTGCTCTACTGTTATTACAGAGAAGTGGGTCTATGATGCCGACCTAACCTTTCCTCATTTTTTTCTATTTTACCTTCTTTTTAGTCTCGCGAAAAGACTTGCTTTCCCCCTATATTGCTCTTGCCTACGCCTATGAGCAGGTTAAGGCACACGCAGACGGCAAAAAAGCGACAACAAATGGCCGTTTGTTTTATCTGTGGCAGTAGTGGAAATACAGAAGAACTAAGCGGAGTACCCAACGGTAGGGCACAACGTATTCGTAAGCTGAGGCAGCTGGAGGGAATTCGACAACACTCGACTGGGGCATATAGGATAACCGGATGGCGCCATTAGAGGTGATAGCGTCGGTCGCTAAGAACGGTCGTTGGCAGCTAAACAAAATTTGGTAGTATTGAACGACATAGGGAAAGCGTAATTTGGTATCTTCAAAAACCATCTGAGTCTATGTTTATAATAAAGCACTTACATTATTACGAGAATCCTGACTGAACTGGGTACGGTATGCATAAGCCAGCACATTTTAAATGTTCCTGAACGCTTCAGAAATATATAGTTTTCGGGTCAAATACCCTTATCGACCTGAAAACATCTACAGCGTTTAGATCTCCTATTCAGTATCAAATTCAGTATTGAATAGAGGTACAAATACCCAGCGAAGTTATTAGAAAATTACTTGATTTCGTAAAGAAACGCCAAGCGACACTATTGATCTTTATTATTGTTTGTTAGAAACACCAAATCCTTAAGCTGAAAAGTTGTCCCATCGCGTCTCGTGTATCCCGTGCTGCAAAAATATCCATTCACCGCTCCACCTAACTTAATAACGCATTGAGGATTGAAATATTTGTAATACAATGTGCACAGAACTTATTAAATTTACCAATGTTCGAAGCAATCTCTCGAAATGATCAAAAGCGAACGGCTTAGATGTTCTGTCTGCTACCGCTCCATAGCAAACACTTCCAGTAACTAATCGAGAAACTCAAAAAACATCCTGCTCTAAATCTATGTGCCAAGTGTCAAGGTGTCAGCCATGATCACGGCAACCAGGGTAAAACTAGCGAACGCGATACACAACAAGGGAATCCTCACTGGTGCGCTACCACAGACCAACATAGAAACTCTAAACGACTATGTGAGAGTCTTGAGCGATGGTGGCAAGCGAACGGGAAAGTTGAAGGGTTTGGACTCCGGAAAACAGCGAGAGAAAGGAAGCGCCAGAGAGGGGGAGAGAGAGAGAGAGTACGAGGGAGGAAGAGGAAGAAGGAAAGTCGAAGGCAGGATAAAACCGATCAAAACAGATGGAAGCTAAAGCTTTTCTAGGGTCGCACACGTAGTTCAGCATAGCCACCATCGGAATCCTACCGACTCGGTAAGTTCGTAAATTGTTGGCTGTCGAAAGCCGAGTCCTGGTCGAGGCCGTAGCAGGTCTTGACCTGTCGCCTCACAAGGCTGCGGAGCAACAAACAAGACTTCGTTAAGGCAAATGACTCCTTTTAGCGAAACCTAACTAAACTACAAGTTCAAAGGCGCTCCCAAAAAACGTTTTTACCGATCACGGCGCTCAGCGACTAAGGGCCCGGAAAACTGAGAAAGGTCGTAGATCTCGCTAACATCTCGCAGAGCTTCTTAAGTGCATTTTCACGGCACACGACAAGGCATAAGATATGGAGAACTTAGCCAGACCTTCATCCAATGTACTTACCCAATCCTTATCCAATGTAGTACCAAGGTACTAAATGGGATAACAAACTAAGTCAATTGTGGTGTATCGTCATTAAATTCTCTACCGTCATTCGTCGTCATTTGTTAGATATCGTATGTTCTAGTTGACTTATTCTTTGATATACAAAGTCATACTTTTTGAAGATACCAGTTTTATAGAATACACATTACTAGAAAGAAACGAGACTGAGTCTAGCTTTATTGTGTTGAACACCATATGTTGCAGGGTATGCGTGTAGCATTGTAAGGATAATTTGGTAAAAAGCTTGTGAACGAAGCGTCGCAGCTTTTCGCGCACCAAAAAGCATTTCTCAAGTGAACTACGTCCAAGAGGAATAATGTACCTTTATGAAGAACCACAGGGTAGAGAAAAGAAAGTTACCGCTAAATCCAATAGGCGTCTTGCACGATGCCGAATATAGTGAATTTATACGTGTGAAAAGCCGTCCCAAATAGAAGAGGTAACGATAAGCAGTATCCGCTATTTGTGCAATATTGTAGCTGATTCGGTCCCAGAAGGCTGTCTGATTGACACTAGGCCAACGGAACTGAACAAGAAAGTGGCATCGATCCATTCTCTTTCACGAGGAAAAGCCTGAAGGTGGACGAGAACATGAAAAACAAAGGCCCTTCGTCGCTCTTATCGCAAGGAACAGACGACGATTCAGTTCGAACTAACGAAAAATTATACAGTATATTAATTCGTTTGGCTTAACTTAAACCCTTATGAATAACCTTTCAAATGTTTTGTTGTTTTAATATTTTGTTAGCTGTTGTTAATGTAAGTTTAATAGATACCCTTTCAAGCTATTCTAATTCTTGTGCGCTTGTGTGACGACCGCGAAGAATAGCCAAGCGCTTCATTAATGTACCTGTGCAACGTCAACTGCACACTTACAAATACATATGTACTTATAAGCGAAGAGTAGCAATTGTTTGTGTTATGGTGAGATTTCTATAATTTTTCACTGCTTTTCAATAAGATTCAGCAGCTTGCTAATGTCCGAATAGACTCACTCGTGCGTTATTCGGGACCTGTCTTTTTGTCGAACGTACCTTTCCCAGTGAAACCATTTGCCTCAGAAGAAAATTTGCGCTTTCTGTTTTTCCAGCCCCACTCTCGCCGCTGATAACGATCACCTACAGTTGGTAAATAAGTAAAAATACAAATGATATATGTATATATATTTGAATATAAACAGTGTAGTCTATACGGAAAAAAGGTTAACATTTTTTACAAAAAAGGGTTACTTGATTCCGCCTCTGATGCAGCATCGAATGGAACGCGGAGTCGCCAACAGCGAATATATGAGGAGGATTATCGGCTCGTCCACAATTTCGATATCGTGCAGATACCTATGAAAAGAAGAAGACCGAATAACGCGTTAAAATTTTATAGACAGTCATGACAACGATCTAAAGGACCCTATACGGCGCGATGCGAACAAATATATATATACATAGCATGCTAAAGAAGAAAAATGTGTGCTCAAGGGCCATTATGCATCGAGAGTCGTTTGGAGCAACTAATGATGCTAGATGTCAGTTATCAATAGCCGACATTTGTATGCCATGTTTTTTACGTTTACGTGCATGTAATATGCTAGTATATACAAGTAAAGGGGCGCAAAAGTAGGGCTTGAATTGAATCGGTCGTAAGTCTAAGCTTTGAAAAAGGACGTGCTTCACATTAAGGACAAAAGGTTACAAAAGAATTACATGCCGCCTGAACTGCAGTTTTGAGTAATCGATTATTACTTGGAGTTCCTTGGATGACTTTTAACACCAAGTAGCCATGTTTTTGGCCACGCGTAACGTACTATTGCATAAAAATGTTCATATTCATTCTATAGCATAAAAGCTGGTCTCCAAATAGACTTTGAGGGCTCAAGAGGCTTTTCATCAGCCTTCGTTTAGTTTACGATTGTTGGCAGTTGAAACAAATGATCAACAAGAAAAAAAGAAGCATAAAATCAGTCATATAATTATATATAATAAGCATAAAAATGTTACCTGCATCCTTCGGTCGCCTCTTTCTATATGTTCGTCATAGGATACGTTCCCATTTCAACAAATAGTTTCAAAGACTCAACTATATCAAACGCGGCCCATAGATGGTCGACTAGTGACAGAATGAGTGCGCCATGAAATTACGTCTACAGGCTGTATGCAACGACATTTTTAAATTCTTGTCGAAAAAGCGTCCTATAGATAGCTTCTATTCTGAAATTTTCGTAAAGAATAGACAGATCTATTAGATAACTGTAATTGCGCGGATCGGTACATAAATGCATTTTGCTTACATTTTCTGGTTACACAGACATGCGTTGTTCGTTATGGTCCTAATGAGGTAGTCTTGAGCAAGCATCCATATACCTCAGAACGCATCTAGTTCGCTAGTTAGGCGATTTATTCTTCTTTGAATGCAACAACGGTAGAGGGCGTTCGTGTGAATATATCGAAGTTTTTTGCATAGCTCTCAAAAACCCACGGCACCAACTGATTTCAAAGGATACATTCTTCCGAATGAGAAATATATGAAGATCTGTTACCCTTTACGAATTCTCGCCCATCCTGGCTAAACGATGTGAAAACAGCTCGAGTTTTATAGAAAAGTTTTCGAAAGTGAAATATCTCCTGCCAAAAACTGCGGGTACATCAAAAACGAAGGTGTTCTGTGTTCAAGGCACTACCTTGCGTACTGCGTCGGTTTCGAAGACTACAATGCGCCCCTTTATCTTCCATTGTATAGGTACAGCCCTCAAATTATGCCTAACACAAGTGTCATCCGCATACGTTTACCATCACCTGAGCAGCAAATTACTTCATACGCACGTACTCTCATATAATGTACGTAGCTTCCCAGTTTGTTGTTGTTGTTGACCCAACTGTATTTCATTTAAAGTGCCCCCGTAGAGTCAGAAAGTCAAGTAACTACATGTTATATTGCACTCGTGGTGATTCTGCTGGCGACACAGATAGCAACTGTGCACGTTGTACGTAAGCTGATGCCAATGGTTCATTGCCTCTCTGCCTTCGCTCGTTCCTGATATAACTGCTCTAAATGGGCCCGAAACACGAAATCAGACTATCTCCTACGGCGTATCGGTAGGAAGTTAGGAAAAGCTGTTCGTGAAAGATTTCGTTGCCTCTACGGTGTCCAGGACAACGCGGGACAACGTTGTAACGACCGGCGACCATACAAGTCGCGCGTATCAAAGTTCCACAAGCCCCAGCAAGCTGAGACGACGCCATGCAACGGTACAAAGCATGTTATGTCCGTTACGCGCAGCGAAATCATTGCGAATGGCGAGATCAGACAGCCAGGTCGTGGTGTAGTAACCGCCAACTACCTCCAGCCGTGGCCCACGGCGCAGCTAAAAAACTCACGTAGAGGGTAACAAATTGGAGGAAACACCAAAAGTTTATGATCTACATTATCTACGCAGATATGTTTTACATACACAGGCACTCGGAGGCTCACGGACCCAACTAGCAACTATGTTATGTAAAATTTCAAACCCGAGTCGGGCCGCAGTTTCCTACTCGCCGCCAATGTTCTGAAGGAATACTTATAGTGGAGCTGGAAGCTGCTTGGGGCAGCTTTATATACACATAGATTACAGAAAACGGCATACTGGTACTGTCATTGCAATTCGACATGTAACGCTCTAAAGATCTACTGAGCTCGTACCAACTAAAAGTTAAGCCCTCATATCGTATGATACTGATTTAGTGCCAATATGGAAATACCATGAATATTATAAGGATCAATCGATCTTGAATGATTGTTGAGGCGGAAGAAGAAACAAATAAAAATTGTTGTGCGTATCAGAGTCCGTCGCGGCGACCGTACATAGGTCATGAATGTAAAATGTTTCAATATATCAGGCCACGGGTGTCAAATATTGACTCACAATGGCTTGCCAACTCTGGCGGCATTCAACCATTCACCGACTGAATTTCACCAGCCGGTTATATGAAACAAATAACAATTGTACTTACGTCTGCGGAATAGATGCTGAGTTGTTGGAAAGGGTTCAATGCAAGTAAGATGTCCCCGATGTACGTGTAGATTTGACCTCTCTTATAGCGTCGCCCAAGTTGGTCCAAAATCGTTTCCTGTTATGCAGCAACATGCGACGTTTCAACACCAAGACACTCTTCAACATTATGTACTAAAGAACCCTACTGCAAAATAAGTAGTTCCTCAATAATTGCTCTGTGTTGGAAATAAAAAAATCGTTCATATCGACATCATCGTCACCATCGGCCGAATTTGTGACGCAAAATATCCGCTTTGTTGAACTTCATAAAAATGTCTCTTTACCATGATATTTGATTAGAGGACATTGTCTATAAGCTGGCAGTGATTGGAAAATACAATACATTGATTTCTATGCAAACATACTGTACTTTTGTGATGCCTTGTGTAACACTGGCTTGGAACAAGCTCAATAAAAGTCACCAAAATCATCTTCTTCATATTTGTTATCAGGCTGACTATGAGTCATGCGTTGAGTTTGATGGCCTAAAAATCGACAGGCTATCTCAGGCTACCTCAGCGAGATGATCCATAAGGGCTAGGTCGTCGACCAGTATGGGCTCTGGCTTTGACTTGCGATCGGCTCGCAGTTGACCGTGCTTAGTAGTTACTTCTGGAGCTCGCTTTACGCCCGCGCACCAGTGACGTTGTTCCTTTAGAAGACGGACCAGTTCGGAGCGAATCTGAAGGAAAGAGGAAATTGTTCACTGCAGAATTAGTTATTGGTATGTTTTTCATCATATATTATGATGGTGTCTTTGAAAATTGTCCTTTCAAGTTTGCAGAGTCTTGCCGATGAGACAAAAAACTAAGAACCTTGAACAGTAAAGGAAATAGAAAAATGTACAAAATCTATAAACATTGTATAAGCAGACTTAACAAATAATCGTAGTTTTGTCTGATTTTTTTTTATAGGCTTATTTTCGTATTCCCTTCTTTACTTTAGACTTCTTCATAGAATCAAACTGCTAGCAATTACCGAATTACTCTACAGTTTGTTTATTATGCAAAAACGACTTCAAATGCTACTGATATCAGAAAGGCCACTGAATCAAATGAAAAGCTAAATAGAAACAGAAAGTAAGATTCTCACAGTAGTTGAAGCTATTCCTCACAGGGTTGGCTCTAAAATAATCGTTCAACTGTTCTTAGAGGATTAAGCTAGATAAAAAGTGTTTAATATTACTATTCTCAGCCACTTTACAACTAATATTAAAATATTTTTAAAAATTATTTCAAGAACGCCCTCTAGTCTTAGATACAATGAAGCACATCCTATCAGCTAATTAGCACAAAGCAACGTACAGTCACTTACAGGTAAGACAAAAGAATACTTCAAACTTTGAGCTGTACAGAGCCTTCTTAAAACAATAAAATGGAGGAATCTCGATATCTGGCTAAAACTCAGAATACACAAAAGTTTAACGCTAGTTTTTTTCTTTTTTCCGAAATCCATAGCTAATTGTCATAAGTAACGCGTATGATCAAGCCAAAAAATATCAGAGAAAAACGTATTCACAGCATACTAACTTACTGGTGTCAAAAGTACCAGATGCTGGCCGGGGAAACATTTAATTATTCGATGCTGCAACTCTGAACCTATTATATAATCAACTTAAGTTGACGTCTCGAACACGCTTTTTTAGTGAGACCTTTTCGCCTAGTCCACTTGATCCTGCGATTCGGAAACTGAAGAGAGAGTATTCCTTGTAATGGCATGTTGACCTTGAGGCAATACCGCTGCTCTGAGTAATGTGCTGAATAAATATATTAACATCGCCAGACAATACAGACAGTAGGCGGTACATTCGGGAGGGAGGGGTCGAATATTTTCTTGATAGAATTGATCAACCCAACTAAGGTACCAAGCGTCGTTAGCAGTGGAGATTGTTTGACTGCGCAACGGGTCTTGAAGGAAAACGGGCTAAATCTATGTCGAGTAGCTGGCAAAGATGCGCAGTTGCAAGACGTCAAAGTGAGCCGCTTGAGAGCAACGGGCTCTGCTCAAAGAACGTTTTCCTTGTTACTTGTTTCATGGCTAGTAATTTCACTCACTTGTCTTACTGAAGCTTCGTCGAGTCGTACGAACGGGTGCCTTAAAAGATCCCGAACAAAAGATCTTTCTTCAAAGTTTTTAACGAGGCAGTTTTGCACAAAGTTGTTGAATGCCGGTGACCATTCCTGCGGAGCCTTCAGCCGTGGTGGAGGATTTCTGAATTGGTAAAAGGAACGACAATGATAAAGTTGATAAAGAAAACCATGATGCTGCGAAAACAAAAGCAAGATGTGTATTTTTGAGTAGATGTTGCGTTAAATGTAACAAAATGTAGGCGTGCTGCATTGTGTTCGGTATAATGTAATCATTTATCATAAAACCGTTAACATAAAAAAAAAAAAGGAATATATAGAACCGCTCTACTAGTAAAAGGTCGCAAACGTAGGCTGTCACTTAATTAAATTTAGCTGAAATAATTAGTTGGATATAGTTATTTCTCCGCACTACGCTCTGTTTTTTTTTACATCAAATATTTCCAAGACAATTTCGGTCTCAATAAGAATTTCGTAAGAAAAAAAAATCATAAAGAGAGCCTTTAAGGAAACCGTATTTTTAACAGGAGATAGGTACAGCGCAATCTTACTTGCATCGTTCACGAGTCTGATACATGTCTAAGAATTATGCTGGTGCCAAATTCGACCCTGCGGTCTATGCTCCATTCTTTTGGCACCAGTTTCTAAGCACCCGTCATGACTTGCGAATTTCATTTGCGACGCGAGCTCTACATCTGCTTTGAAGGCCCTGTTTCAAATCTAATTTATTTTTATTCTACTCGTACGCTCAAGTACACTCATATTTCCTTTCTGTCGAAGAACAGTTACCGTTTTCAGCTTCGCCCTGATTCAGTGGACTTCGAAGCAAGATGACTCGGACCATTTTTATGCTTCCGCTTTAACACGAAATGAGCAAGAAAAATTTGCTTTCGTCTATCTATCTCACTCTTATTTATCAGCGCTGATGTGAATCCAAAAATCTTTGCATTTTTCTCGCAAGCACAAGTACAGCAATTAGCCATCAATGAATGATCTATTCTACTGGTGCGTAACAGTTGCGGCCTCATCAAATTAACCCCCTACGTCCTACAGAATCGCGAGGCCGGACCACCACTACCTGTCGCTATCTCCACTAAAGATGGTCATTTCTTTCCATGACAGTGCGCTCTATCTAGATTCGGTCCTTACTAAGAAAATGGACCCTATGGATTCTGCATCTTTCCTTCCTCTCCTTGTTTGATCTCTTTGCTTGTTTTCCATTGCTTCTTGTTGGCGATAACGTTTTTTGAACAGCTGGAGACCCGGCAGGGCTACGCTCATACTGCACTATGTGCTTTTGAGTCAACTCTAGAGCTTACCCATAGGTTGATTCGTTGCCATTCGCTATTCTTGATATGCGCCATAGATGAGGGAAGATGGCGGATACTTCGATTGGTACAAAAGATCGAGCACTGCTCGAACAGCATGAAGCAGATGCGCCAATGGCAATACCGATGAACGACGAACGAGAGTTTCTAGGGGTAGTAATTGGTGGCTGAGAAAGATGCAGAGTCAGCTACCTTGAACTGGAGAGCGTGTGCGAGAGAAAAAAATGGACAGAAATTTTCAGCTCGTTGTATCACTTCCTTCCGCCAGGATAGTCGACAACGGGAAATAGGCGCACAGAATTACGCCGTAGAAGACTATGTGTGTGGTATGGGGGGTATCTGAGCGTAGCAGGAAACGTGGGGATCAGAGGCACATAGGCGTTGCCGTCGGCGGCAGTGGTGCCGGCGATCGGCCGAATTCAACACAAAAGGATAAGAGCGACTTTTCGATACCTGCCCTTACAGCCCGACGCGCTAATGAAAAATAGAAAACGCGAACTATTTCGCCTCCATTCTGATGCAGATCTGAGCCGGCCAGTTTCTCTTTTCCTTAACACTCCTTCCCTTCTTTCTCACTTTCTACAGCTTTTCTTACCGTCTACTCGCTTGCGGAGCGCACTGACCACTCGGGACTAATACATTACTATTTTTTCGTCGCTTTCCCCTCACATCTCAGCCCTCTTTTTTCCCGCCATCTTTCTTTTTCATATGCCAACACGTCGTTAGGATCTCGACCATAGCTCCATACAATCTCTGTGACGCATCATGGCGTTGCATCGCACGGCTGATTTCTAATTCATTTTAGTTTTTCTTGTCGGTTAGACATGCTTTACAGGCCAAGAATTTTATGCAGGATAATTTGACGCAAACCTATGATTTGAATGAATAAGAAAAGCTCATTGTGTAAGATTATGCACATTAAGATCACATATAAAGAGTAACTTTAGTGTAAGGCAAATTTCGAAATGTATATAGTTTATCGTTAACAGTTGAACTTTTTCTATCAGCTGCTTCTATTTTTCAAATAATCTCATCTTGTACATTGTAATAGTGTGTATATCGACCACATATTATATAACTAGATATGTGCGCAACTCCGATACCGACGATAATAAACACAAGGATAAAATTATTTACACACAATAAACTGCAGCCCACAACGCACATTCGCCATCATAAATCACTCAGCGGTAGTCATTCGATTGCAGAAATCCAATCACACAAATCCAATACCTTTCTCTAAAAGCCTTAGTCAGTCACCAACGAGCTAACAAGCCACCCCACTGGGTTTCCAGACCTACTGGAATAAATACTCTACGAGAGCCTACCTCGGAATCTGGAATAGTGCTCGCATCGGATGTAAATGCGATAGCGGAGGCTCTCCCTGAGCCAACTCGAGAGCTGTAATTCCCAGCGACCAAACATCACATCGGATATCGTACGAAAGGTCTGCTTGTCGTTCGCAGGCGACTACCTCTGGAGCCATCCAGTAGGGCGTACCGACCGAGGTGTTGCGCCGCGCCAGCGTCTCCTTGAGGTGCGAGGATACGCCTGTAAATACATCACACAGGAAACAGATCGGGTAAAAAGGTAAACGAAATGACAGACACAGCAAGCTAACAAAGAGCACCTTAGGCCGTGGTATCACGGTGGAGTACTGCACGACGTATCTGAATAGCAGTGAACCACTAGCACAGTAACTGTGTGAGGAAGTCGATGGTCGTTAGATAGATAAGGCGGATAAAACAGTCCCGACTTATTAACTCGTTCAGCAAGAAGCGGCAGTAGCGTCGATACTGCTAGTATTTTCCTCGGTTGTACGCCGGCCTCAGGTAGGCGGCTGGCGACCATAAATGCTTTCTCTACTACCTATGAACCCTGCAGCGGAAGGAGAAAAAGCGTTCGAGCTAGCGCAGCAGGCAAGTCAGGTCAATAAAATAAGTCCGGTCCCCGCAGCCCCACCGGCCAGTGCAGCCCCACGGACCAGTGCACCGCTATCGGCTAATATACACCCATCGGTTAAGAATGAGCATCCGCAGCTTGGTTCGAATTTGGACTAACGGCTGAGGCTTTTGCTTGTATGGGTCGTCGTTGTGCTGCTATTGCTCCTGGCAAGTCGAGACAACTACACTAAAGAACCGTGGGCGAAGCATCGCCTTTGTTTGCGCCATGATGTAACTATGAAGGGTGGTTACCATTTGTCTCTGCGTAGCTCTTCGTTCGGGACCAACATCACGCTTAACTAGCTAACTCGGAATACAATTACGTACAGAGGGTACACGTAAGACGATGTCTTTCGATTGGTATGAAAATGTTACGGAGATCTTCTCTCTGACAGATTAGGCCGATTATAATACTTCTGCTGCCTTTTCATTCTCGAAGTCGTTCGACAGCAAGCTACTAGCAACGGCAAATTATTATACAAAGTGAGGTTTAGTTTTCTACGGTTATGGCCATTATGTAATGTCTATATTTACAAATCTAACATTACTACGGTGAAAAATCTAGAGAGATATCCTACTTTAATTCCATTTACATATAAAAAGTTGATCAATGACAATTGTTATATATACAGGATGTCTCAAAAATGTGTACACCGTTTGACGGATCATAACTTACTGGGTGTTCCTTTTTCAGGGTATAATTAGTTGAAAATAATGGATGGATCAAGATTAAGCTTTGAACGAAGGAAGTCTATTGTCAGATGTTACTGGATATTTGAACACGTGGGAAAAGCATACAAGCAATACTGAAAGGAGGAGTCGAGGTAACTTCGCGTACGCGACTAACAATTAGTCGTATCAAAATGAAGTGCGAAAATATTCAGAACGTTGATAGGCAACGTTATGGAATACCAAGAACATCAACGACCTTCTATCAGCCACACGTGTAAAAAATGTCTATGAAAAAGATCACAACTTACTTAACTTAATTAAGAGCTTGGCCTCGGCCGCTTCAGTGTCTATCGCATTTTAAAACGTTGCAAATAGAAATTTACATCCCCGCAACAATAGTATATGCTAAAAATAAAAATAATCGAGGCCGAAGAAAAGCCATTTTGCAAATAGTACTTAGAAAATGTTAACGAAACGAACGATTTTCGGGAACGATTTTTTTGAAGCAATAAAGATCCATTCAATTAATTAAATGGCAAAATGAACAGTCGTCGTTTTATTTATTGAACAACTATATGATAACGTATTGTGTGTTCAGTGTTACGCAGGAATACCATTTTAGCTTTTCCCCTATTGCATGTAAACAAGTTTTCAGAGTCATCTATTTTTCGATGCAAAATCAAGGCCTTCATTTCGAGCCTAATCGGAGTGGATCCTACTTATGATTTTCTTAATAGATTGACATGACAACAACACAAACAGCTATTAACATGATATTAAGAATATCTTATGTTATTTTTATGTTGTGATATTATTATCATGTTCTTTACTTTGTCGATTATCGATGTTTGATGATAATCTTTACCAGCGGTTACGAGTTAGAATCTGGCGAGAAAGTTCAAGCGAAAAATAATTGGATCATTTTTATAAGGATATATATATATTTTTTTTTTTATTTAAGAATATATTTTACCGCGAATTTAATGCGATTTTGGTAAAATTAATAACGGTTTTAATATCCAGTCGGCAAGGTCAGTTGTACATGGTCGTTGCGACGTACCGGTACATCTTGATGAGAATATGTTAAATCGATTAAGTTGAAAATACCCTACAGAATACCCTGTTTTCCGTAGGTTTAACGCCGACTTCTTTTTCTGGGCGTATACCTCGAATATAAAGTCTGCGCCAAGAAACCGACTGCACCGGAATCTTGAAGACTGAAAAAATGAAATTTGTCGGTAGTAGGCCACCGTGACCGTTATCAGCAGCGTACCGACGACAAACGATGTTAATCAACTTGCAGTAAGTTAAAAAGAAGTTATTCATTTAACGCATATATATTTTTTGCAGTTAACTATCAATCATACGACAACACAAACTGAAGTTATGATCGTTCAAACTGTGCTTTTTGAAATATCCTGCATATGTTATGTTAGGGCCAGCCTGCGATGTTCTCTATCTGAGAAGCTATTAGCAAACGAGAAAATTTAATGGCGGTGGTTTTTCAACTAAAGACTAACGTAACTATATAACGAACCAAAATCGACGAGTTTAACAGCTCCCGCTTCAGTCAAAAGGACATTATGTCCCTTGATATCGCGATGCATGCAGTGATTGTTGTGCAGATACACCAAAGCCTCAAGAGTCTCGCGTAGTATGTAGGCAATTATCGGCTCGGGTAACAAACGCCCATTTCTTCGTAACGTCTGAACGAGATCGGTCACAGATCCACCACTGCAGAGCTCCATGACAAACCACACCTGTAGAAAGGACGTGAAAAGTACATAGAATGTCTAGCTTGGGTGAATGAGTGCAACGGTCGAGTCGGCACAAGCATGTAGATAAAGGACCGCAGAAATTCACTGAATTACCGATGCATACATATATATATATATATATACATATGCAGGAAAAAGTAAGTTGTAAATTAGGTATAAGATTGAATTTATCTGAAAAAGAAAGAAATATTGACGCTGGAGATGTTAGGAGAGCTTTAGCTTTACGAGTTACCCCCCACCGTTGGGGTAAGCTAAAGATACCGGCTTGCCAGTTGGCAACTTGGCACAGGTAAACGGATTCTAAAAAGAGAGACCAGTGCTACTAAAAACGACCGCTATTCTCTGCGAATATGTACCTAAGTATTCGTTATTGATTTGTACGTAACGCAAAAATCTCCTAACCTTATCTATGAAAGGTGTTGTCGATTCTGATTGGTTTTTTTTCCGGTTTCTTTAACAACGTGATGAAGGCAACGTTGTGACTTTGTGATTGTTTGACACAGCGTTTTTAACTATTGGCTCAAACTGGCCTGAGAAGAATATAAATGCTTAGTTGAAATAACAGCGAGTAGATGATAAAGGCTCTTTTACATTTAGGTCAAGCTATTTAAAGGTCTCTCAATAAAATTTATATTGGACCAGTTTTGTCCGCCAGAGGGGTCTGAGTGTTCGTAGAAAGTATAGACATATTGTTGTGTTAGGCGCAATAAAAACGGCATGAACCACGAGAGGTTGGTATTCCGCTTATGCGAGTTAAACTTCTGTATCTTATTGCTTCTTATAGACGCTACACGTTAACCCAGTATCAAGCAATAATCGCAACTCATCGGCTTAACCCCCCAATGGCACCTACATAAAAAAAAGGACTAAAATTACACATACGAACGTGTCCCCTTTAGCAAACGGAAACAGCCTGCCCGGAAACAGAGTTAAATTTCATTTTTAAACCGATACAATATTTTAATGAAGTACACTAATTTGGACGTATACTGCGATCAGATTAACGGTAGCTATGGTCTAATAATTTAGAGACATTCATGATCGGAGATTCTTTTCATTACCGAACGGGTCAATCAAAAAATTCACACGTGAAGTTACCATGGACGGCTATATGCCGTCACTCAAGCAAAACGAAAACTAGCGAAAGGCAATCTTACAAAAGTCGTGAAGGCAACCTAGGCCTCTCAGACTTGCTTTGCATATTTGCTTAAACATTCCAATATTCGCTGCTATCCGAAGACGACACTCTCTGCTAACTTCGCAGCATTAACAGACTAGCGCAAAGGCAAGTTAAGTCAAATAAACTATTAGTTCAGCTTCTAAACTTTAGCCGCGTCATCGAAACGAAGAATCTGCCACTCGGCTTACGGAAGCGCTAAAATCAGCTATTGATATTTCCAGAATTTGCCGATGACCGCCATTAGTCTTCTGTATGAAGTATGGAGGGGGTAACTGTTATGATTAAATGTGATGGATCCTACAGACCCACTGCTAGCTTCCTTAGTCTTTGTCGATTAGTTCCAAACGGTTGGGAAACCTATTGTCCTTAACTTCACAGACACATTCGTACCCAAAAAGACCGGTCGTGGCCGTCTAAGTGAGTTGAAAATAGGGACACACGTTAGCAAAGTCCACTGTTGTTGGACTTGATTCTCCGAGTAAACTTAATCTATTACGCAAGGATCGCAGGATAGGTGCGAAATAACATAAGGGAATGCTCAGCGTTTCTCTGTTGAGGGACGACACTGATCTGTAGCCTTTGCATGTTTAACTGAATCACCCTTTGATTCCGGCATTGTTCAGCCTAAATGACACGAAGCTGATGTGTTCTCTAAACTCACCACTAAATATACTGAATTTAGCTAACGGTTCTTTAGAAGCTGATGTTGGAAAATTCGCGGAAGCTCATTGCATCCGATCCTTGGGCTAAACTCTTTTTTAACCCTACATGGATACAAGCTAGGATTGTAACGAACCCAGATCTGCAGGATGTTCAAAGGCTTCTCCCCAGTTGCCAGTCGGGCAATAGGAGCATTAGTTTAGCATTACCAACTGAGCAGATTTCGCCTTGTTTTCGACAAAACAAGTGTAACTGAAAAATAGCTCAAATATTTTATATAAAATTAAAGCACATTAATTTAGGTGCCTTTTCTACTTTAAAATCCTGCCTCAGCTGTAAAATAGAAGTATGCACTTAAAAAAGGTTTTTTGCCGTTCGTTTCTTTTGCGGCTTGGAATGCTTCAAAATATTAAATTGGAGATACTCGGTTGGCCTTGTAGATTCACAACCTTCATGTGTGTTCCTCCGGAATCGTTAGAATAGCGTTAGTACTCTTTCTCTGTTAGGAAACATCTCTCCTTCTATTGAAAAGCCTCTAGCGATTAGATTTTCAGGTCGTGGCCATCATTTTAAACTCAAGCGACACTAAGCCTTTTCGTGGTAGAGGACAACGACGCAGCCTTCTTCTATGCTGCACATTGCCTGTCTTTTTTACGAAGGCATTTGCCAACGAATTGTCGACAGCCGAAACATTATCACAGCTCTTCGAAGCTGAAATGGAAAGATCGCGTCTGAAAAGAAATCTGTGCGAAAGCAGTAAGACGTTATATTAATCAAAGAAACAATCGACACGCTACTGAACGCCACTGACGATTCTGCTGATAGACCTTATTTTCAATGTTCAAGCTAGGTTCTAAATTCAGCAGATGTAGGACACTTATGACTGATAATACTTTTCGAATAACGGGATACTTCGCCTCGGGGCCGCTGTCAAAAAACACGCACCTGTTCCTACACAGCGAAGATTAACGTCAATAGCTAGCATGGCGCTGAATCTTGGCCGTTGGTCACGGCATGTGTGGGTCAACACCGCTATCGCCTGCTGTAGAAATTCAACCCGAATTCCGACTATTTGGGAACGACACGGTTCGGCCAGAGCGGAAAACCCTAGAAGATAGGCCCTTCTATTACAGCTGTTGTAATAGACACTTTCGTACTTTCTTATGTCAAGTTTATGAGAGCTTACCCAAATACTGCCCCTTGAAGAAATAGAAACACGTAAGTTTTCGAAATACGCACGTTTGGAGATGCACTAATGCTATAATCACGATCAATGTTTCTAGTTCAACTAGCAAGCTTTACGTGACGATATTTTTAAAAAGTGACAAGCAGCAAGTTATAAGGACAAAACGGGGGGGGGGGGGGTCGTTTTTGTTGCCAAAAGCGTCACTATGTTTGAAAATTGGAAACACGTAAATAAAAAGAAGCAATACTTCGCTATTTTTAGCAAACTATGCAAAAAAAGTAAGTATAGCTTAAATAATTGTTTCCGCTGATTGTTTTCTAAAGGTTTTAGATCAAATCTAATTTTTGCAAATGTAAAATGATAAAATCTACTATTTCCATGGAATGACACAAACCGAGAAAAAAATAAGAGATTTGTGATACTAATACTATAATCATTATTAGCTGAGTTAATATAACTTTTTTAGGAACAAACTTTATCATTCACATACGTGTTCTTCAACGCTCAGCCAAATACCCCCAGCTGTTTAGTTCTGCCAGCCCCAGTTGTTTAGTTCTGTCCGTCAAAAATATGTATCATCTACTTAAAGACGTGTCGTTTTCAATTTGAGCTCTCTGTTGCATCGTTTGAAAAACCAAGAGGCGCCCGTCAGGTGAGCATTCGAACCCGTTAGCGGATTACCCTAACAAGATAATATTCTCGGTGTTCACTGCACTTCCTCAGCGACGAGATCACAAAGGTCGCTCGCCCACACCCAGGAGATTTGTCACTGCGGGGTTATCAGCGGATGAATTGCGAGCCTCCGAGAAAAACCCCACGGCGGACACTTCTAACTTTCTCCAATAAGAAGGATTTACCAACTCTATGTCAACCGAAGGGAAGGAGACACGAAGCGGAACAAAAGGCGTTCTATAGAACTAGACAGGTAATAAGACAAGTCGGCTACTGCTTTCAAATTCGTTCAACTCAACTCCCTGCTTACAAAATGACCTGTATTTCCTCTTGAACCTGATTGCGATAATGATGTTGCGACTTTCCATATTTCCTTTATATAGATTGCATAATATACGAGACAGTATAGCAATGAACGCTGCATAGTCTCCATATCGAGAGTGTACATGACTAAATAAAAGTAATCTTGAGCCCTACCGGAGCTTAATTTTCTAATCGCTGGACATTCACATTCATCGCAGCTTCCTGTAGCCTAGTTTACTGTCGTCCATCAGACATGTTTAGTTATAGTTTAATTGGATTTGCCTGTGCCGGTTATGAGCTATTAAAAAAAAATCAAGGCGGAAACCGTGTCCGAATCAATGCTTGTTTTCGGGTGACACTCACTATTCGGAAATTCACCCGCAGTACTTTTGCATTTTTTTCTTTCAGAGACATTATAATGATTATCTACGAATTGGCCGTCTTCGGGCGCGTCCGACGTACTCGTCAGACAGAGCGGAAGGAAGTTAAGGAAACGTTATGGGTGTAGACTGAACAGACGGATATCCTATCGCTAAAGAAGCATACATCTAGGTGTCCGCCGCGAGATAACGTAACGAGTAATTATTTTGGTTGGATAGAGGATATATTATGAGTCGTTAGATTCAATATGGGTGCTGGGTAACGGTGAAAACGGATATGAAAGAGCAGTTATGGAAGGGGTATTCATGAGAATCCGGTAATCTCAGGTACGATGCGGTAGTAGGTGAAAACATTGCAGATTGGACACCTGAGTCTAACGTTGTAACAACACAAGCTTAAGGAAGGAAAAACAGGCTTTTTGCCTGTTTTTGTCTCAAGGGCAAAGAAAATGATTTTTTTTTTCCGATTTTGAAGCGTGACCTCCATTTTAAATCGAAATACAGCAGCTTGTAGCCGATTCGAATGTAGTGTTTCACACACTGAAGAGGCAGTCCGGGAGGAACCCCCTTTTCCTTACGCGTCTATCAATACTAGAATATTCAGTTAAAATTATCTTAAAGCTAGTACTAACGTTCGACTTAACGACCAAATTTTATGTCATTCTTAGGATGTACGGTTAAACAATTTGTGGTTTCCGACAAGAAGGGATAGCGAGTGGACATACATCATTGGGTAGTCGAAAACGTGTTGACCATTCTTAAGTCAAAATTGAACCAAACATTGTTTATATTTTAAAACATTGAACATGTTAATAAATTAAATTTGCGCCGTCTTGATCGGCGACATCGACACGTTTCTAGCAACGCCACTGTAGGACTTTTATTGTTTCTGAATTAACACTCTTGAGAAAGTCGTGCAAAGACCGTAACAGATGATGATGATATAAAATTCAAACTATACTACTAACGACGTAAATACCGAAGATATATTAAAATTTGCCATCCAAAGTCTCTCAGTTTTTGCCGACTAGGTAAAAATGTATGAGATTTGATGTCACGAAGCATTGTTTTACTAGTTCAGATACATTTTTTCAATGGCTTGTTGTAATCTTGTTAGGTCCGAATCAACCCTCTCGTTGGGCGGCAGCAACTCATAATGCACGGTCCTTCCTTATACTTATACTTACCTATATTGTCACCCCTTTGTCTGGGCTTTGCCACAGATTGTGGAATAAATTTCCTTAATGTTACTATTTTTTATATGCATGTCATTGTGCTATGTGATCCATCACTCGTGACTACCCGCTCTAGAAATGGCTCGATTTCGAGTTGGATCGAGTAAATTATTTTGGGTCAGTTCGTGGTCAGCTTTCTTTAAGTTTCCGTTTAGAATCGTTTGATGAAGTAGGTCCTCGGCGATTCCATGGCCACTTTCGGCCATTTGCATTAATATCATGAATTTTCAAAATTGGTCAGTTCCTACGAAGAGCATCTTCACATCAAAATGAGAACAAATCTTCGTGCCTCTCGACTATAAACAATTCAAATTCGTTCACCGGCCTTTGTTGTGATACATTGTAAAATATAGCGAACTTTTGCATCCACCTGACTCACTTTCGAAGCACTCTATCTCAAGTCTGAATAAAACGATTCCGTTACCATGCTACTACCAAATTTCGACTTTCAAATGCCGACTCGACGCGATTCATATTACCGGAGACGTGTGACTTCGAAACCATTCGGCACAAAAACGGTCCGTACTTTTTCATCAGCCCAATATATACATACATATATATATATTTTATGCCGGCTGGAAGACCTATAATATAATTGTTTAGGTATTCATCAGTAAGAAGGCTACCCGCGACCTAATTTCCTTTGAAACGGATAACTGGATCCTGAATTCTGTCTTGCTATTTTTTTAATTAAAAACTGGGCCATCTTTTAAATCCTGCCACGGTCGTTATTTATAACCGTTTTTGTTATCTGTTAGTATTTGTACTATTTACTAACCTGATCATCTTCTCGTCTTTTGTTACTAGCAGGCTTAAAAAATGCTCCATAATAATTTGGCAGGTTCGGGTGGTTGCCGAGATCTCGAAGGACACGGTATTCCTCTTCCATTTCCTCTTTGTTGTCGGATATATTCTCCATGATTTTGATAGCCACGACGCGGCCTGGTCGCAGTAACAAGCAACGTATAAAAATTAGGCGTTATTATATGACTTACTTATGAATTTACAATAACATGTAAACAGAACGATAAATACAATATTAGTGGTAACTTTATTTAAATGTTATTACAAAAATAGCCATCAGGACGGCTCCCAGACTACTGCAAAAGTTATAACTTCTCTCCGAAAAGCTTCGTAACGAACCAAACTGGGTCCCGTTTATTAGTACGACATAACGAATATTTTGGGGCCAACTTATCGTCCAAACGATACGTAGGATTTTATATCTCATACGAAGATCATTTTATCCTCTAAATGCTTTAAGTAAAAGGAAAAACCTATCTACAAGATAATTAAGAAATGCCGCGATCCTGTAGGATATCAATCACATTGAGAGTTTCAAAGAAAATCTTCCGTGTAATTTACTCGCATTTTTTTCGCTAGAGATGCGTTTGAGTAGTGCCGTGTACTTTAGGACAAAGGAAATAATAACTAGGTAATAAAATCGTACCGGTTATTCAAGACTTTTACATTCCCTCCTTACATTACAAGACATTCCCTAAAATATAATTTTCGAAACTGGTTTTTCTCGTTCATTTTGTAATTAATCTGGCTGTGTAGATCTACACTTTCCGACTAAACGGAAATTACGCATAAGGATTGTTACAAGTCGAATATTTTTTAGTTCCCCGCTGGATTTTATATAAGCAAATCTGTTTTTAGTTAACTTTTGCCTGTATACATTTTCAACCTATACCATTACAAAGTGCTCGGGTGACCGGAAATCATTGAAACTTAGTTAATTTGAGCGTGCCTATCACGCACGTAGGAGCCGATTTTATACGTAGCTTGTGGAGGTTCATATAATAAGCTAGAGTTATTGTTAATTTCGATAATAATATACATAGAGAAATTACTTTAAATATGCTGAGAAATCTACGTAGAAAAAACGTAACGTTTTGCTAAAATTACTATTAGGTGATTTTATACTTGTCGTTTGCAGTTCACGACCTGCTGTCATCGCTCAACTAGCTCAGTTACTTCATCTCGCCAAAAAATGCCAGCTTTGACATTAAAGAACTGATCTAGCCAATTTAAGACCCACTTCGTTGTGAAATGCGCTTTTAGAATTTTTTATTTCATTTTAATCCATCGGCATGAGATCTGTAGATAATGGCACATGCAGAATAAATTCTCACTCAAGCTCTTGCAGGATGGCTCTAGTGATTTTTGCCAGTTGTAGTCCGACATTCTCAGGAAGCAGGATAGCCTTGTCCTCTCTGTCGGATCCTTTACAGCTCAAGCCTTCCATCCTGTTCCCCGCAAACATTTTCTAGTGCATGAGACACGGCCACGCCACTGAACGTAAACGTATCTTCCGGATCCATCTGTTTGTTTGGCTGCTTTATCTCTCCATTGAAACACTAATTTTCGTCGCCCATAACAATTCTGTGTAGAAATCTATCACTTTGCAGCTTGTTGCTTGGTTCCGGGCGAAACTCCTATTTGTACAGTGTTTGCACTCAGTCTATGAGCAGCCCAGAGTTTTAATTTTTGTTAAAATTCTACAGGCTTAAGATGTTCAGCGGTAGTCGGGCATCTGCGTCGCAGTTCTTTTCACCACCGTTTAGCAGTTCTAGTAGTTATAGGATTCTTGAGACACACGTCCTGAATATTACAGGCTACTTCAAACGCTTGTTGACCCTTGCAAGTACTGAAAAAGCACTTTTTTTTTTTTAATCGAAGCTATCTTTAGAGTTTGAATACGAGACTTCGTAACAAAACTACAGTGGGCTCAAAGAAGGGGGAACGGAAACATTTGAAAAAACTGACAATTTTTAACCAACCCAATATGTAAAAGCTACTCGGCATTTCCTAAAATAATTAAGTTCTTCGATGTCATCAGATATACCCGTACTCAGTAAACTTGGGGATTTGTAGTGCTTTTTTGTACCACAAACCCTTGAATAATGATAAAAATTGCGATTTATGTGGACGATCGATTCACTCACATACCCGTGTACAGCAATGGAAGAATCTACCAAGAAAATTAATCTATGAACAGTGCTCTTTATTAAGCCAAATTATCTAGGAAACGGTTTACAGGGTTATCGTATGTAGAATCTGCAGAAAACCAGGTAATTCAAGTATAAGTGTTCTGGTTAGAGTACAGCTACTGAGCAGTCGACAAGTCACACGTCACATTATTTCAAATGTACATTTTCTAACTGGATGCTACGCACGATTCTCTCCTGTAATATTTGCAACCTTTGTTTCAATATCAATTTAGTTTCTAGGGTCTGTATTGAAGCAGGAATGATATTGGTCACCAATGTAATAAGCAGTCCCTTAAGAGACGCCGTACCGGTGGCCGTATCGTGGGCGGCGTAGACTTCTCCATAAGTTCCCTCGCCAATCACTTGTAGCAGCTGAAAGCGCCCGCCTGGTTCTGGAAGAGATAGAACATTGACGACCTGCGAGAGGTTTCGATAGAATGTTTGCAATGCGGGATCGCGTGGACCTCCTGAAAAATCGTATATGCAGGGAAGAAAAGCTTTTACTCCGGACTGAACTATTTCATATATGAGACATATTTGAACTATTAATTTATCTCTATTCGTGTTTCTGGGAAATTCTATAACTCCATTACTTTTTAAGTGGTACACAATCAAAATAATCTACGTGCAGCTTATTTTGATATGGTTAAAGTCTCTTAGGAATAATAAGTAACTCATACTTTTGCAGTTCCCAAACGGCTATGATTTCGCGCAAATATATGTAATTAAATGATATGCCATTTTTACATTCATCATGCGCCTGTAAAACTAATTCACATCCTAAATTGGAGTCGCGCCAACGTGCTCCATAGATATTGGAGCTAAGTCTAACATGCCAACTGTTGATTAACTAATCAAGCTAAGTGTCGAAATGAACCCAAAACTCTCTTAAGAGTCATTTATTACGATATCTCCTTGAGTCGTGTGATATATTTAAAATATACCACACGATTCCAAGGTAGAATCCCAACTAGATTATTTGTTTAGATAACTCTCTAATGCTCTCTTTTGCAAATGTTTCTCAAATATTTGCAAATGGCGTCTCTGCAAATGCTCGACTTTTTTTCTGTTTTGCATATTTTGATTGAAACTGCCTATAAGAATTATATAACTAAATTAAGTATAAAGTAGTTTAACGAACGTCTCTAGAAGACAGAAGGCCATTTCACCCTTTCGTCGCGGCGAAGGTATCAGATCTTTTAGACACTGTAGATCCGATGCAATGCCAGACAATACATCAATAAGTATTTATTTTTTTAATAACCTTAATTAACATTACACTTACTTGGCAGGCCATCCTCGATGTCTGGGGGTCTTGTCATTTTCATCTGAAAGAAATTGTTTGATGTTAGTCAGTGTCAAATTAAAATCGTTCAAATTTAAGCACACATTATTTTATCAAGCCAAACTTAATTCTGACCTATTAAAGAGCTGCATCCAAAAAAACTGTTTAGCTATCTTTAATTTTTTGGATCTCGCTTCCTTAAGATGTGTTTTTAATATCATATACAAAAGGACCCTCTGTCCTTCTATTCCATTACAAAAGCTCATCGATAATACTTAATTAGTCATTTATAATAAAAAAAAAAAGCTTTCACCACTTATTTTAGACTGTAAGGCGGCGATGAAGCTAAAGCTTAATCATAAATGCACTCTTTTTAGTAGTATATAATTCATTGGATCCTTATTATCCCGATATTAGAATAATAAATTTATTTTAATTTAACATATAACATCATAAACATATTTACACACATATACCTATTTTGGTTTGTTGTTTACGTTTGCTAGGGCTTGCTTAGACTAACACAAAAGGGCCAAACACGAGTAGAACGAGGGCGCGCATGAATTCTGTCTGACGAGTTTAACCTTCGTTTGCGACCGTAAGGACCGGATTATGTTATATATTTATTAGCTTTTAAAAGTAGATCTGCTATGCTGCTTGCAGAGAATATTCCATAATATTTGCTTTTATCACTTTGAAATGATTTTTACTAGGTTTAAAAAAAATAATAATAACATACGTTCTAGTTGCGGTTAATTTAAGGCCTGATCCAATTGCGACCGCCTACTCTAGTGTAAACCTGTACTTGAGATATTATTAACACACGCTCAGGGGGAGAGCAGACATTTCCGTACTAGTACAACTGCTTCTATCACACTCCCTACCTGCAGTGTGCTGTTTATCGCGCTAATGGCTGGCATTTGTTAACGGATATACTAGGAAATTATAATGGATTATTCTTATTATACTTTCCATATTTCTGGCAATTAACAAATGCACTTTTAGTTAAGTCGAAGTGGTCAAGGGTCTACCGAACAGCTCGAACGATCGCCATAGTGATTTGAGAATGCTAAAAAGATCACAAGAACCCATTTAGTTGTTTTCTATAAGTTTCAACTAGATTTTACACTTTGGTTGCACACCAAATGTGCGCTGACAATCTTCTTTAATGAATTTAACTAATTATACTCAACTAAAGACGAGAGGACATGTTACATAATTATATCTATTACGTTCAAATGGATGGTGCGGTAAAAACGAGGCCTTAATAAATCCTGCAGCTGATCGCGTCCACCCATTCATTGGGTTCGAAGCCATAGCGAAATACAGAGGAAGCTGTATACGCTAAACAGGCCTGCCTTGACGCTAACACCACAGACTGCGAAATATTTGTAAAAATCCATCTTCCAGATCCGTACATTTCTAAGTGGAACTTCGTTCCCCCTTAAAACAAGAGAATTTGAAATAAAAACGTAATATCTTGACGCTGGAACCATAGCCGGTAAAACCTTTATTGTGGTTTGTGAGAAACGTCATATTCGAGATTTCCAGGGAACACCGGGACTTGACCTAAATGACAACAACTGTAAAACGACGACTTCTTCTGGTATTATAGAGTTACAAATGAGTACTATTAAGGCCGTGATAAACACTCTCCCAATGTGGCAACCTGCAGACGTCGAACCATTAGGCGAAGTCTTACTTTCTAAGCACTATCAAAACTATAAGCAAAGCTGCTGGGTCTTTGGCGCTCACGACTGTCACTATGGGAATTTCATGAAACAGCTCTCTTCTTATAAATAAGCCTGCAGTGAAGCTTCACATGAGCTAAAATGGATATTCTGCTATAATTCGACATATTTTTACCGTAAGTATTTCGTTCAATACTTAGTCTAAAGCTTTGCCAAAAAGCCTTGTTACGCATTACACTTTGCCAAGGAAGTGTTGGCGTTCGAACACCCGCGGACCTCGTTGTAACGAGTTACATTGGGTTCGCGAGAGGTAAACCACTGCTCGTAAAAATTTTTATCCTGGAGATCATTCACATGTTGAGTATACAACTGGTAAATTATAAAGGGAGGTTTAGTAAACAATGAAGAAATGCACAGGCCTAGACTTAGCGATTAAACGGTGGTAAAAAAATTGTGGTAAGGTATTCTTGCTAAGGCCCTACGAAGAGAAGATTAGATCTCTTTAAAGTGATTTTCTGTTTTAGAGATAGAAAGTGACAACAGGCTTTGTCTTTAGGCTCATCGCTGGCCGACCCAATTTAAACCAAAATCTCTTATGAGCCAGAAGAACGAACGACGCCATCCGTGACGTAACGCCATCCGCGGGGTCACGTACGATGCAGCCAGTGAGAACTCCAGTCTGCCGACAGCCTGCCTGGTCTTTGTTGAACAGTGCTATCCAACTCTATCATTAGCGTTAGAGCAGTAATTGTAACCTTTTTCTTGGAACGTCACAATCGCTCACTAATGACTGCCAGAAACTAGTTTCTTTTGCATCTTATCTATACACACAATACATATAAAATTACTGATATTTAATGCACTCTGTGTATTCTAAAGCAGTTGACGATCTTCACCGCGATAGAATGGGTCTGTCGATCGCTCGCTGAGTCCACCGTACCTCCAACCTGTAATGTCCCCACCAGTCGTCATTTATTCTAGAAATAAAGTGTCGGCAACTATTCTCCCATCATATATTTCCAACTTAGTATAGCTAAAATAATAAAATTCCCAGAATTCGTCCTGTTGAGATTATTCACAAAAGCGTTCGGCCTGCAAAACGTCTTTGCATCCTCAGGATACGCTTTGAAAACAGAAACGGTGTTTCCTGAAAGACCACGTTGAAAATCTCGCCCATTCGCATGTATAATAGGAGTCGAGGACACAAACGCTACCTCTCCCTAGAGTTGCTCAAATAGGTGCACCTTGAATGCTTTCATGCGGTTGGACCACTTGCTGATACCTCAGTTTCGGCATTGATTCAAACAAGGTTTCAACTAGTCCTCGATGGTATTCGTAGGCAGCATTTAAAGGTACGAAACACAACGCTTGGACCCGTTGTCCACTGCCTTGACTTCGTACACGTTAAGGGGAAATATTCGACAGCGACTGAAGGGCGTCCAGCGGCGGTGTCCTTCGTAACCTGCACGCGGTGTCCAGCATAATACAAAAAGTGTTTTAAACTCATCTTCGAAGGGTTAATAGAGGTCGGTAAAAAGAAAGTTGAAGTTTAAGAATCAGATGATTTGGCACTCGTAACTTCAAAAATATGCGCTTGCTACTTACTCGATCAAGAAACAATGCATGCAACGGATAATCTTTTTGCCGCTTCGAGTCAGTTGATTTGAATAATTAATTATAGTAGGACAGATAATTCATGCCCGACTCTAATGTAAATTGCTGGAGTCGTTTACTATGACGAAAGTTTTAAATTCGATTTTTTTTTTTTTGGTGTAATCTACACAGCAATGGCGCTGGTCGTTTCAATCGTTAGGTGCAATAACGTATCGATGTTTCACTACAATTCAATAAAGAGTTAATAAATAAGATCTAAATTAAAGAATGAGTATATTTCAAGAAAAGAATTGTAAATAAATAAAAATAAAAAACCTACTTGAGCATACCAGTGTAGTAATCAAGCAACGCCCTTTTGCTTTTACAGACCAATGAGACAGTTCATATATCGAGTTTTCGAATAGGCATATATAGCGACATTCGAATCTATTAAACCAGTTAATCTTTTCCAGAGCTGTGAGATTCCCATTTGGTAGATCTAACCGCAAGATTAGTCTCAAACGTAACATTTTTCACCAGCATAAGGTTCGCATCATAGTTAACGGTCCCCTTCTTTCAGTAACTTGTTGTGATAGCAACGAGTGGCCGGCCTAGCTACAAACTGACCATCTTTCTGTCAAGCCATTTAATTATGTCGAAAAAAACTGTTGTTCTCCACAATTAACGCTTATTCTATGACACCATCCGTGCCTTAAGCTGCATTTTTAGGCCTCCGGGCACGAATAAACTTACAGTAGTTTTACCTTAAGGCTAAGGAATCGAATGCGGTAAATTCGAAAGCTCCATACTTGGCTTACTAGTGCTAAAATTACTGTTCTACATTACCTAACGGTACGACGAATGGCAATACCCTATGATTTTTTTTTTCTGAAAAACGTTCAGCTTACGGAAACTATCAGCGGTCAATTGCTTGAATTCTCACGAGCAATTTGAATGATAGCACATCTCTCTGTCGTGCATCTCAAGGCATCGAGTCAACACCGCTGCGGGCTACAGCAACGTTTAAAGTTCCTGAGATATTTTACAATTCGTCCATGTATTTTTTGACAAAAACACAGAATTGAAGTTATCACGACTTATATCAGTTATTTTACGAAAACCTAATTCATTTTATCAGTAGGGTTTTCCAACTCGTTCGTTTCAGCTTACCACTGACGAGACATCCCATCGGTTCTTAATAGTAGTCAGCTCTTCGTTCCCGCACCAATTGTCCCCTACCGTTCTACATGCTACAGCGACGCCTACGCATCACCTTCTACGCAGACACGGTTCACACGCGGCCGAACAAACAGACTATGATCACGGATGCTAACTAGCGCCAAGAAAAAAACGCTTCAGGGTTTTTGTTTTCCATCGTTAGCAACAAACAGAAAAGGACAGCAACGATAAAAAACAAAACTATTAACGTATCGCGAGCGTTCCTAGCGCCGCGTCTAAATGCCTAGCGAAGAAACATCTGCGACGCCTTTCAAACGTGCGTTCGGCACTTCTTAAACCTTTTTCTTTCTAGAGGATACGTATACAACGATGGATGCTGGTGTAGACGATTCATTACAGACGAATATATATATATGACTGGTTCTCGCTGTATTTGTAATAACTCAAACAAGGGAAACGTATTTCGAGCCGAGCGCACTCATAAAGATGTCGTCACTCGCCTATTACTATGGGAAGCGGCTATTGAGTCTTAAGCTGCGCAGAAGCCGACATAGTAGCGTCGTTCACGGTGGTCGACGTC